CTTGTCGGACTCTTTACAAACTGTTTGTGACTCATTACGGGCTGTGAATGAACATAATTCACAGCCATTGAAACAAAAAGAGGGTTTTGGGGACTAATTGTGTGCTTTTTACTGTCTCAGGAAGCCTAGGTCGGAACAGGACCATCCCTTTCAGTCTGAACCCAGACTTCTTTGCTCATCCCTCAATCCATTTTGGAGACAGAAACTTCAGCTTCCAAGCCATTTATTTTTACATAGGTTGGGCAACTGGTTGACTTAGAAAGTGCAAAACCTTAAAACTGACCAACCTATGCCTGATTAGTGCATGAAATAGTGAAAGGTCTATTCTAGGCAGGGAATTCCTTTCCAGTGACTCTCAAAAACAGTGAAAGCTCCTGGCTTTCTCTTCTCATGCTATAGCAATAAAAATAGCACTTAGACTTATATAGCGCTTCACAGTCCTTTACAGCCCTCTCCAAGCAGTTTTAGAGTCAGTTTATTGCCCCCAACAATCTGGCTCCTCATTTTACCCACCTCGGAAGGATGGAAGGCTGAGTCAACCTTGAGCCTGGTGAGATTTGAACTACCAATACTGCATTCTAAGCACTGTGCCACCACGGCTCATGCTTATCCTCTTAAAATAGTTTAAATCTCCCACAGTTCAATCCATTTTCTCCAATGCTAACTTTCCACTGGCACTTCCCTACTGGCTGATGATCACTGTTCTGGTTTTTTTTTCCATAGTGGCTGAAAGTTACTAAAAAAGCCCTATTTTTGTTACTGCCACCTTGTGGTCATTATATCAGACAGTTGATCAGTTAATCCATAGTTTCAAGAATGACTGAAACAAACTAAAGGTTAAGTAGGTCTTTACTGCACAGAAGTAACATTTAAAAATGTACCATGTGGCCACAGCATTGTACATGCCAACTGAATGTGCCTTTTCATGTGGGATTTCAGCCCAGGGAACCACCACCCCTCATGGCTTTGAATTTTGAACTTTAAGCCTGTGTGGACAGATGTATAGCACACGCTGGTCCCAGGCACACAGTAAGGGTTGCTTCGTGGATAGTAAGAAATAGTGTGGCATGCATTTCCTGCTGGTTTCTGGGTGGGAGGGGAATAACTATGCAGTTGTATGAATATGGCCTCAGCGGGATGAAGTGGTTTTTGATACTAAGTGACCTAAACTAATAAAAAACTAGCCCCGGTCTGTTTACACACCAGCCTTTCCTAACCTGATGCGTAGGCTTAGATATGTGGGACTTCACTCCCATCAACTTCAGTAAGCACAGCCAGTTCCATATAAAGGACACCATATTGAAAAGGGCTGATCTGAATTCTGGCTGAATTCACTCATTATATTAAGCTGTAATATTGCTGGTTTGATTTTGGCTTAATGTGCCACTGAATTCAGCCATTATAATTTGCAAATGATAGATTTACAACATAAGAAAGTTGTGCAAATCCAGCCTATTATGATTTTGTGGCTGTCCTTAGTTACCAAACAGCTGAGAAATACCTTTGGTTTGGTTAGATGGAAGTTGAATGCCAATGGTTCCTATTTTCATATCCTTCCCTGAACCGCATGTATTCCTTCTAGCCAATTCACAATCAAGAACTCATTTATATATAGAAATCTTGTCTGAAGGTCCAGTCTTTGGCTCATAGATTAATATTCTTGGCAGGTTGAGCCTCTGCACGTTAAAAATTACAATTTGTGGGAAAAGAAGACACCACTCAATAAGACTTTTGATGCTTTAGGATGCCAATACTCTTATATTCTCTTTTAGCTACAAGTGAAAGAGCAAGAAGTAGTAGTATACTATATAGAGTATAGAGGAAAGAAGAGTCAAATGGGTTCTGATCTCCCCTGAGTTGTATTGCTTGCAATAAAGTAATTTTCACTACTCACTTAAGTGGATTTATCTCATGCTATTCTTTGGGGTTAATGTTTAACTATCTCCCAAACATTGTACAGAGAGAGGCACAGTTTACATGCAGAAATCTTCTACTGTATTAACATTCCAGGTGTGACAAAGTTGATTATGGAATTTATAGTTTAGAATTCTATCGGCCACTATACTGACATTTGGGGGGGGGGCATTCCTTTGTTAAATTCAGAAATTCAGAGCACCATGAAGAAAGAACAAAGCCTTCAGTGTTGTGACACTGAACAGTAACTCTACAGAGAGTGATAGCTTTTTCCCCCCTCATCAATATTTCTAGTAACTAGCTCCTTCTTTTTCCATCGGACTAAATTCCAAACAATGCAGTGGCCCAGATGTCACCAGAAATTCCTCTGTTCGCTCTGTCAGGTGAAAGCAAAGACTGGGCAGGATCTCACAAGATGTCTTTCATAGGCACCAGTCCAAAGCTACTGTGTCGCACTGGAAATTCAAGAAGCCACTGCAGAGAAAGATCCTGACTCAGCTTGAAGCAACGACCTTTAACAAATAATAGCACACAATCAGTGGGAGGGCCTGGATTCAACAGTCTTCTCCTGCCCCATTCCCCTGTGCAAACCGAGAGGGCATGTAGTGGAAATTGTGCATCTCTAAGCTACTTAGCACCAGATGCTTTCTGAGATGGATGATTTATTCTCAAATGATCAAGAAACAAGAGGAAAAACAAGGAGAGCAAAATTGTCTTCCTGTTGCAGTGAGCTTTCAGTCAACAATCTGGCTAAAAAGAACTGAATGCTAGAGCAATTAAGCTTGCCAGGGATGGTAGTGGCAGAATGCCAGGAAGGTGGGTGGTAGCAAAGGGAAGCTGCTGCCAAAGAATGCCCGGCTTCTATATGAGTCGTGACATTTCCAAGCCGCACCTATAGCAAGGAGATTTCAAACCATCCTCCAGATGTGAGAACAGGTTCCAACTAGCTAATCATGAGAAGGGCCTCCAGAGAAACCAGCTGATTTCAATCCATGTATTTCTTAATCACTCCAAAAGCATCACCCATGAGAGCTGGGGAAAAAAGGTGAATAGTCCAATCTTTGGTACCCTCTGCAAAATAAATTACAATGTTGAATGCAAACCACGGTCATAGAAAAGAATAATCTAGTACCTTATTCGCATAATTATGAAATAAAGCTGTCCAATGGAAAATGCAAAAACTATCCTGTGAAAATCAGATACTCCCTCCCCCAAATTAAAATATGTGTTCCATGTACATCAAATAAAAGGAACTTGAGTGTACATTTTACTGATCAGGTTGTGGATTTGTGATGAAACTATTTTCTTGACTGTAATGGGTATATATGTATAGTTTGGAAATCAAGAGGAACATCCAGTGTATTATACTGGAATTCTATTTCAATCTCAAAGAAATCACACCCCTTCCAAAAAAAAGGGTCTGTAGCAGAAATTTTAGTCTAAGCACATGTTGTTGTTATGCTCTGTTAAACTGTAGCCAATTCTTGGTGAACCTACAAATAAAAACTTTCCAGATGCATAGATTTCTCAACATTTAGTCATAAACAAAACTACAGCAGCTGTAGTTTGTGAAAAAATATTTATTTGCTTATTTATTACTGATATTTTTTTATGCAGTTCTAATCCAAACAGCTCTGAGCACTGTTCTTCGGCCTTCTCAGGCAAGATACCGGTAGAAAAGCATCCATTTCTTGTATGAAGGTTGAAAAGAAAGCTAAGCTTTTCTGGAGCCCAAATCCCAAAATTTGATATTGAATTCACTTTTTTTCCTTTGGAATTTTCAAGCAGTGCAAGAGTAATCAAGGTAGAAGTGGTTAAAATGATAGCAGATATTAAATAGGTATTAAAGAGCATTTACCCACAGATGCTACCTACAACTAATTAGTAAATTCATTTTTAGAACTCAGCAAAGCATAGCTATTTCTTAGTTATTAGGCTTTTTTCCTTTTTCTAATAAACTCAACTATAATTTTGAAAAATAAAGTTTTGATAGTGCCGTTTTTTCTAGCAGAATGTATCTTTGTGTGTGTATCTGTATATAGATGAGGAAAGAACACAGTTCTTAGATTTTAATTCCAAATGAAGACATTTACTTTTGATAGGATGCAAGTAATTACATTTTCTGTACAAACCAGCATTCAGTCTTCATCACAGAAAATTAAAAAAACCAAAAACCCACAGTCACAACAAAATCGCAACAAAATGAACAATTAATCAGATTGCTCCTTAAAATTTGAAGGGAGTTGCTACATGCTGAGACAGACCTTCATTGCAAAAGGTGCTTTTTTCCCCCTTTGAAGTTGTCTGCCAAGATCCTAAATTTCTGCCTGTTCCTCTCCTGGTTTAATTTAAACTAAGCCTAGGTATGTTTCTGGACTACGACAGTACTCTTTAGTTGGCCTTCTATTTCTTGGAACCAGATATATAGCATTGTAGGTAATACCATTTCCCCCAGGAAAAACAATTATAGGATGAAATATTCCTGAGTACCCAGGGAAACCATTATGCAGAATTAGTCCTATCTGCAAATGACTAATGCAAAAGCACATGATGCTCTTCAGCCACTGAAGCCTAAGGTTAGCTTGTTCGTCTTCGGCTTCTGTGCCTGCTCACACCCATAATCTGACCTTCAAGACAGACGGTAGGACACAGTATCCAGAGACACAATCTTCATTTTAAACAGGTGCCAGGATGGGGTTAATGGCCCCTCGATGACTGACACTCCTGCTGTAATTAAAATGCTTTTGTCAGAGCAGCAGGTCCAATGACCTCTCCTTAAGAGAAGGGCCAGCACAGTTAGGCCGCAAAATTCCAGATCATCCCTAGAGGGCAGCAAAGAGATTTTTTTTTAAAAAAAGGTCTTAATTATTTGCTATCATCTAACTGCCCTTCGGAGTTTTGCAGCCCTGAGGTCTTTCCCCATCTTTGAGCTTTCACAAAGACCGCCGGGGCCCTTGCACAGGTTTTCCGGCGTGCAAAAACCATTCCCAACCCCGAGTCTCCTCCCACGGCACCTTATAATATATTCCCTTACAGTTGAGAGTCTTATCGCGTTTGAGAAAAGCCAGAAGAAAAGCCATCCATACCTTCACTCCCACCTTGGGCTGCCGGCTGCTGATGTCACACCTCGCAAGCCAGATGCTCCGCAGAAAGGAGGAACGGATGGACGGGAGAGGGCGGTGGAAGCGACTGGGAGTTTCCCACAATGCCTCGCTTCGGGTCCTCTGCCTAAACCAAGGAGCCGAAGGGAGGCGGGGAAAGGGTGGAGCGAAGGGAATTGCTAAATGCGGGGCCGGAAAGTCGATGCGGTAACGTTGGTTTTAGCTCCCGGGTCGCTTCGGCTGACCTGCCCGCAGAGAAAACGGGGCTAAGGGCATCAGGGTGCCGTTATACGCCTGCTCAAGAGAGCATCGGATGATGGGCGCTTTTACGTCCATCAACGATCGGGAAAGGACCAGCTGACTCGCCAGAATTTGGATTTTGGAGGCAGATGGTGGGGTGGGGCTTTCAGAAGATGTTCTGCTCCAAATATTTGGGAGCAATGAGACGGCAAAGTACTCGGGATGCGTTTGTTCTTAGTAGCGGCTCTCGGCATTGGTCAATAAGGCTGACTTAAGTCAAAAGCAGATTTTTTAAATATAAAAAGTCAGCAATAAAACCATCGGGATTACAGGGCTTGTCCGGAGATGTATGTATGTATGTATGTATGTATGTATGTATGTATGTATGTATATATATATATATATATATATATATATATATATATATATATATACATATATATATACACACACACACACACACACATATGTATGTATGTATGTATGTATGCATGTATGTATATATTATGTATGTATGTATGTATGCATGCATGCCATGCATGCATGTCCAAGTGTAAGGCTGAAGTGAGCCCACCCGGAGAAGGAAGGAAAAAAGGAAAAGTTATGTACCGTCCCTCTTGCAAGCGGGAGGGGAAAAATCCAGCCCCCCCTGCGAGGCGGCTCGTGCTATCCCGGGCTCAAATGTGCATCTACTTTGGCCAGGATGGCAGTAAAATGGATTTCCGCTTCCAAATTAGAACCATCCCCACCAGGAGTGACCCGCCTTGACAACTTTTAAGACTTGTGGACTTCAACTCCCGGAATTCCTCAGGCTGGCTCGGGAATTCTGGGAGTTGAAGCCCACAAATCTTAAAGTTGCCCACTCTGGATACCCCCGATCTCCACCATCACTTGTTGGAGGAAATGTGCGTTTATCTCAAGGTAGACCTTTACGCCGGATGATCCGCCTGTGAGATTTCACAGGGCTTTGTGGCTGAGAACAGGAGGTAATGGAACAGGACTGTCCTCTAGCTCAGGGCTCTCCAACCTTGGCAACTTTAAGACTTGTGGATTTCAACTCCCAGAATTCCTCAGCCAGCAAAGCTGGCTGAGGAATTCTGGGAGTTGAAGTCCATAAGTCCATAAGTCTTTAAAAGTTGCCAAGGTTGGAGACCCCTGCTCTAGCCGCTTCTCCAACTTCGGTTCCCTTCCAGCTTCTCCCCCCCACCTTCCCGTGTTTCACTTCTGTGGGCTGGCTTCCAGTCATGGAGACCAAAAGCTTCTTGTTACAGCCTTGAAGCCTGCTTCAACATTGCACCCGCTGAAATCCCGTTATGCCCCCTAAATAAGGGCGTTTTATGGTGTAGTCACAAGGTGACTGGCCTTTATTTTGTCTGAATGGAATCAGTTTCATTATTTTCCATCCATAACGCTGAACAATATAACAAATCACCTAATAGTTCTAAAGATCGAGTTTGGGTTAATTTAAAAGGGAACTCTTACTTTAATAAATTGACCATGGTATGTTAATTTTTTTGGGGTGTGTGTGTGTGTGTGTGTGCCTTTGAGTCAATCTTGGCAGTTGACCTTGCCTGTTTCCAAGGGCTGAGAGCTAGTGACTGGCCCAAAGTTATCTAGCTGACTTTTTGCCTAAACTGGATTTTAAGCCGGTGCTTTTACCACTAGACCCAACTGGCTTTCTAAAGTAGATATTGTCCTTTTCTATCAAATGAAACCTTCATGATTATAAATAGAAATTTCACTGGGTTATCCAAACTTGACTTTTATTAGTAAGATTAGCAAGAAAGCTTTAATATAATTAAGTTACTAAAGAATGCATGTGTTCTCTTTTATCAGCCCATTGTTTTCAAGCCAGAACTTTTGAAAAATTCCTGGTTAAATAGGTTGCATATTATGCTGCTTTTATTGCATTTGTCCTTTATATAGTATCCAAACAGTATGGGGGGGCGGGAGGGAATCAAACCTACTCTTGGAAACTTATTTTGGCAGCTTAAATCTGGGAAAAAAATGTTTTTAATATGTGTTTTTTTGTTTTGGATTTATGTTGTAAATCTCCAAAGGAATATTTAACCCTATTCTGTGAGACACCTGGAGTCACTCTGTCAACTGAGCCGATGTACAAGTTAATAACAAAGTACTGGTTTACATTAATTTAAAGCTGATCAATTTGGCATTTCTCCCAAAAGCTTCAAGTGTGTATTTGCATTACTGCAAGGAATAATGATTTGCATCTGGCAAACCTTCCTTTTCTTCTTCAAGTTTATCAGTGACACATAGTGATCTGCTCAATTTAGTTCCTTAATATAGCCACTTTCAGACCTCATTTTTTTATTTACCTGAATGGTAAAAAAATATACACACACAGAGGAACAGGAAATTTAAGAGTGGCCACAAGATGGTAGTACACTGTGTGGAAAGAAAGAAAACAGAGGGAGGGAAGCAAACAGAAAAAAATAAACAAGGTGACCCTGTTCCTTGTGCAAAAAGATCAGAATTCAGGCAGGAAAATAAAGACAATGAAATCACTGGGTCGTGATGAGAACCAGTTCATGAAATTACTAAGATGTAAGGTGTATAAAAATCAATGATTTTTTTAAAAAAATCAAAAAAATCAGATTTTTTTGATTTAAATCGGATTTTTTTTTATTTTTATCGAATTTATTTTAATAAAAAACTTTTGGGGTAAAAATCTATTGTAAGATAGTTTTCTATTTAAGATACATAAATAATTTAGTTTATTCAGCATGAAATGGAGCTTAGTTATGTAGCATGAGGCTGTATATTCTGCAACACTGGGACTATCGGTGAGTCAACAGTGGGTCAAAGGAGTAACAGAGATGACAGTTGCTCTTTAAAAATTATGATTTAAATCGAGTTGATTTAAATCAAGCCTTTTTACTAGTGATTTAAATCATGATTTAAATTGTGATTTAAATCAACTCGATTTAAATCAAATCCACTCTGCTAAGATGTGACTTGTTCTTTTTTATCTTTTTACATTGATCTCACTGGGGAAACGTGGGGGCTGTGGTAAGCAGCTAGCTTGTGTTTGGGATAAACAATCAGCCAGCCCTAACCCATAGACACAACCTGTATATAACTGGGTCTTCAGGGAAACAGATAAACCATTAAAAAGTGCCCAGAGTTGCTAAATTTGGATTGCTGTATTCAAAACCATTTGAATACTCCAAATGGTTTTGCTTGATTTCACAAAAAACAAAATGAAATTTGATCTTTATCTCCACCTTGAAATTTCACTGGACATTACCTTTAACGGACATTTGAAAATGGGTGGAAATGTCTGTGCGTCTTATCCAGCAAATGTTGCTGAAGCCCCACTCACCTGCTGGCCCCCACCCTTCGGCCGTTCTTGGCTGCAGGAGGTTGCGTCTTTGGCCTCTGCATGCCCCGTTTTAGACCCATTCCAGGCTGCGGGGATTGCCACAGCACACTGCTGCCGATCGCCACCTCTGTGCATCACATTTTTGCCTTCAGCACGCTCCATAATTGGCCTTTGCGCGTTGCATTTTCGGCCAGAACTGGCTGAAAACGTGACACGTAGAGGCCAAAAAAGGGGCGTGCGGAGACCGAAAATGTGATGCACAGAGGTGGCAATGTATTATGGCGATTCCCGCAGCTTGGAACGGGTCTAAAATGGAGCGTGTGGAGGCCAAAAACGTGATGTGTGGAGGCAAAAAACCCAACGTGCGGAGACGGCGATGGGCTGTGGCGTTCCCCACAGCCTGGAACAGCTGATTGGCAGTATTCTAGGAGGCTGATCCAGCCGCCAATCAACTGCTCGTGCTGAATCAGGCTGTGATAACATGCTGAAGCTGACCAGGCTGTTGGCTGTTTGCTGCAAGGACGCTAGCCAGATGAATACCGATGGATGCTGGTAGGCAGAGGCAGAATTGTTTTTTTTCCTCCCAAAAAACTAATGTGCGTCTTATACTCTGGAGCATTTTATACTCCGAAAAATGCGGTATATATATTATTAATAAGGTTAGCAAGAAAGCTTTAATGTAATTAAGATACAATATTTTAGTTAATTTTAGTTAATATTAGTTAATTTTCTTGCCTAGGTTTTACATCTAGGCAGGAAAAACCAAAGGTACAAGTACAGATTAGGCAAAACCGCACTTAAAAAGAGTAACTGTGAGAGGGATCTTGGAGTCCTAGTGGACAATCACTTAAACATGAGCCAACAGTGTGCAGCAGCAATCAAAAAAGCTAATACAATCCTTAGTTGTATAAACAGAGGGATCGAATCAAAATCATGTGAAGTATTAGTACCACTTTATAAAGACTTAATAAGACCGCACCTGGAATAGTGCATTCAGTTTTGAACACCATATTATGAAAAAGATGTTGAGACTTTTGGAAAAAAGTGGAAAGAAGAGCAATAAGATGATTAAAGGTCTGGAGACAAAAAATATGAAGAATGGTTGCCATTTGGGTATGGCTAGTGCAGAAAAAAAGAAGAACTAGGGGGGACATGATAGCAGTATTTCAGTATTTGAGGGGCCACCACAAAGAAGGGAAAACTTATTTTCCAAAGCACCAGAAGGCAAGACAAGAAACTATGGATGGAAACTAATCAAGGAGAGAAGGAACCTGGAATTAAGGAGAAAATTCCTAACAGTGAGCACAATTAACTAATGGAACAGCTTGCCTTCAGAAGCTGTAGGTGCTTCATCACTGGAGATTTTTAAGAAAAGACTGTCTGAAATGATATTGGGTCTCCTGTGTGAGCGGAGGGTTGGATTAGAAGACCACCAAGGTCCCTTCCAGATCTACTCTGATTAAAGTTATTAAAGAAAGCATGTGTTCTATCAGCAAGTTATATTTTCAAACCACACATCCTGAGAAATTCATTGTTGGATAGGTTGCATGTTGCTTTTACAATACTGTAATTGTAATAGTATCCAAACAATATATTTGGAATGGGGGACGCATCTTTGGGGAATCCTTGTGTGAAATTTCAATTAGAACATATCTTCTGAACTCACTATTGAATTGAATTGAATTGAATTGAATTGAATTTATCGCATTTCTATGCCGCCCAACTCCCGAATGTGGGCAGTTGCTATTGGTCAATAGTCACTGATTTAACTCAATTTAATAGTCCAACTTATTATCTTTAATTTTCCAGTCTGAAGAATACACACATTTTTTATTTAGGTAAGTACAGTACTGTGAAGATCACAAATAGAAGTTAAAAACCACAAGAAAAAATCAAATAGCACTGGAGAATCAGATTTTAATTTTATTTAAGTATTTATTTTACATGACAATACACAAAAGTACTTTTCAAAACTTCTCCAGGAGAAAAAATAATTCTCCTTTTAAGTTTTATCTTTAAGCAGCACTTTAAAAAAACCACAGTACAAGTAGTTTAAAAGTCCTATTCAGCAACAGGATATACTAAAATTGTAATCTGAAACTTCATTCAGGAACATCTCAGAACAAAATAAGCGTGTGCACAAACGCACACAGAGGCTAATGTAAATGGAAACATGAAATGTTATTTAATTGAACAAATGAGTGTTTAAGATAAGAAATAACTTTTCATATCAGAAAATAGTGAACATAAAATGACATAAACTTGTCAACTGACATATTATGAACAGAAATTACCACTACTAAAAACAATACAGTACAGAAAAGTTGATTGGTCCTTCCTGTTTTCTGTTGAAACTAACCAAGGCCTTAAACTCCAAAAAGTCAGTCTAACAAATTTTGAAATAGAAGGCCTATTGAGTTCTCAAAGAAAATCAACTATGTCAGATGAAGAAAGATGTGTCACAATTACATTCCTAACTTAGATTAAGAGTGAAGAAGTTTGTCCAAAACCATTTTGCCATGTTAATGCCTATCCCTCCAGTGTTGTATTGGACACGAAATCACAAATACACACTAAACTGCACTATTGAAGAAACAGTTGTGGGGCCTGAAAAATACAACCAAGGAAACAAAAAAGCCAAAGCAGCAGAGGAAGCATCTATGGGTTTTTTGGGGGAGGTGGGGGAGGAAAACCTGTGCTACTGGTTCAAACAAACTCACTGATGCAACAAGGAGGTTGGTGACAAACCTGAAAAAAATAAGTTCAACAATAAAAGCAATACCCCACCTCACCCTGCCACTCCACAAAAGCATAAGGTGTAAGCACAATATCAAAACATTCCCATCTGGAACCTCCAGCAGTGCGCATTCTTGCACAAAAATACAGCCCCATACAAAAAAAGCTGAACTTTGCATGCCAAAGACGACCTCACACCAACAACTCAGTGATCACTGCGTACATACATAACACAAAATGGATGCGTGAGGTCCACCAGTTTTCACAAAGGCAGGCTTACAAAATGAGCATTTTCACCAAGGGACCTCTCTCCCCTTTCACACTTGTTTTCAGTATTTGCTCAATTTATTGGAATAATCTGGTTTCAAACGGGAGCAAGAAATATTATTTTAGTCCACAGACCTGTCTGGTGAATAGATGTCAGCCTTTGTATATGCTTCATGGCATTTTGTGGAACACAGAAAGTGGATTCTATGGTCCACAAACTATTCTTAACAACTATAGGTGACAGAACAGAGATCAATTTATGCTGAAAATTATCAGATCCATTCATTTGCCAAGAGACTGCATGATATATTTTGAAACTCACTATATAGCCGTGATGGCGAACCTATGGCACGCGTGCCCGAAGTGGGACGCAGAGCCATGTTTCCTGGCATGCACGGCATTGCCCGTTCCTCTTCTAGTACGCATGCGCATGCGACGATCAGCTGATCTTTGTGCGTGCGGCAGTGCCGGAAACTGGAAGAACTTGTCTTATATTTTCTGGCATGAGCATGCGCATGCGTGGCAATAACCAGACGACTTGCTGGCCGGTGCACATGCGTGTGTCAGAAACCGGAAGTACCTTATCCGGTGCGTGCATGCCCCCCGGCCAGTTCCTCTTCCTGATTGCGGCCGTGACGAGCGCAAAGTGCTCCCTTTTCAGCACTCGGTGCCGAAGAGATTCACCATCACCGCTATATAGTTTTACATACAATATTTTTTTATGAGCCACAATTCTGTTTCCAGTTCAGATCAACAAAAAGAGGTTGAAAAAATGGAACATACAAGGGCCAGCTGCTCTCTCAGAACTTTAAAAATTGTCCAGATATACCCTAAGTAAAGGCTAAACACACTTTTATTGGATATGGACATAAAATCTATTTTCCAGGACTGACTAGTGAGGCACACACAGCACTGACTATAGTTTGTGCTTGTGATAAACAAAGCCACTTCCTGAAATGTTGCTTTTTATGCTTTCCAACTACATAGATAGTTAGAAATTATATAGAGGATCTTGGGACTTTGTCAGATCAGTTCAAAAAAAGGAGAACCAATAGGATCAAATTTGATGTAGGCAAATAAGCCAGCAAAAGAAAGATGGTGTTTGAAAATGGGCGTGAACCAAACCAGAGCTGTGAAGAAAAATCTTGCAGAATACAAGTGGTCCTCAACTTACAGTGGTTCATTTAGTGACCATTCAAAGTTATAACAGTGCTGAAAAAAGTGACTTATGACCATTTTGCACATTTACAACTGTTGCAGCACCCTGATGATCATATGATCAAAATTCAGATGCTTGGCACCTGGCTCATATTTATGACGTATCCCAGTGTCATATGATCCGCTTTTGTGACCTTCTGACAAGCAAAGTCAATGGAGAAGTCAGATTCACTTAATAACTGTGTTACTAACAATTGCAGCGATTCACTTAACAACTTTGGCAAGAATGGTCATAAAATGGGGCAAAACTCACTTAACAAATGTTTCATTTAGCAACATAAATTCTGGGCTCAATTGTGGTCGTAACTCAAGGACTACCTGTAACTCCTCCCATGCATCCCTATGAGAGAGGCTGTTGGGCAGCTGTTCAGAATGCTGCAAATCTCTCAATTCTCAGCCCCTCCCTCGTCGTGTGACCTAGGGCAGAATTATTATTAAAGTTGGAAGGATTTCTAGCAGCCTTGTTCCAAAAGCTCTTCTTAACTTGTTTTGCAATGGATGTTCCTTTAAAAACAATTAAGCAACAGCCAATCATGTTGTGGGTGAAGAGGATTTTTTAAAAGGCACTTAGACTACCCTGAAGATTAGAAAGAGCAGCAAGAAAGATAAGTGAGATATTTATCCTTTCAATAGTGATCTGCCATCACACTTTTTGTGAGAGTGAAGCTGAGTGAACCTGTGGGTACAAACCTGTTGGCTAATATAACTTTGCAAAACAGAGTTCACAACAACCTGGGGAAAAAATTCTAGGGAAATGTCTCAAAACAAGCCAGCAGAAGTGTGCTGCTGCCTATTAATTACTGACATTTTATTTCGTCTCTAGACAGAGAAACAATTCTAACATTGAGAAAAACCTATATAACTGAGCTGATCAGAAATAAAAACAGTCCTTGGAGATGTCTACATAGGCTTATTATTTCTCAGTGAAGTTGTAACTCAGTTATATCCTTGCATCCAAAAACAGAGTATTTCTCTAGGCAGGCCTGGCATGCAAAACTGAATATATTGCCTGTCTGACTGTCTGCCTCTCTTTCTCACACCACAATTAGCAACAACTTAGTATTTAAACAATAGAGTTGGGGGAGGGCCAAAATTTGTCATGATGAATCCAGCTCATTGTTTTGAGATGGGGAAATGTTTTGTTTTAGTTATTTTTGTACTATACAGTATGTTGTCTGGGTGACTTGCAGCTCTTTATATTATTCAAACATTTTCTATCCTCTACTTTGTGGAAATTTCTACCAAAGAAGACTCTTCATTCCAGCTAGCTTTGGAGTAAGAGGACAAAAATTTCAATTATTGAGAGAAATTTGCACCAAATACAGGTTAGCTAATGAAATGTCTTCTCAACTCTTGGAGGACACAGACAAACCTCCAAGTGGCCTCAACGACTCTGCTAAAGAATGCAAATGACCAGCTGTCTGCAAGGAATACAAATCCTTCCATTCCCCACCATCCAATCAGGGCTGAAGAAGCTTCTTGGATGAGAAGCGAAATGTCTTCAACGAAAAATCAAAAAGTCCAGTTGCCTCTTGAAAAAGCACCTTTGAGACCCATCTCTCAGGGTTTTTCCCCTTATCCCTTACGCCCAATGATCAACAACTGCCACTTCATGTAAAGTTGGAAGTCACCCTCCTATGAATAAAGCAAGAGAATTAACTGCATATTTTTCATTACGTTTTATGTTTTTGTTTTATATTTACATTATGTTCATTATGTGAAAACTGAGTTTGGAAAATGGTGTTAATTTGAGTAGGGACAAAACAAAAATGCTGTTGTTGAATTTGTTTAACAAATAATAAAAGTAGCAGGATTAGAAGAGATGGTCACAGGTATCAAAACTTTTTGTAAAAATTTAAAATAGGCAGGCACTGCCATGTTGTGCTGAAACTAAAGAAGACATAGAAGAGAATATTATGAAATTACAAACAGGAAGTAAACAATCAGGGTTACTGTTAAACATTAAGATAAAGGTAATGGCAATCTGCATATTTGGACAATTTATAGTTTATGGGAAGAATGAGATAGTGGGAGATAGTTTTGTCTTTTGTTCAAGAACCTAAAGACTGTAGAGTAAAAAAGAAATTAATTGTAAGAACCTAATGACAAATTTAAACAAGTTCATGAAGGAGAAGCACACACTAATGCCATTAAAATTCAGAACATCAGTGTTTTTTCCAATGATATGTTTATCTGTTAAAGCTGAGCACTGAAAGTAAAGAAAATAGACACCTTCAAATTATGGATTTGGAGTCTATTACCGAGAGAACCCTAGACAGCAAGGGGAACCAATTCAACCTGTTCTAAAGAAAATAAAGACTGTTCCCTTGAGACAATGATCAGAAGGAGAAACTTGAGAGCTGGGCATGTGATTCAAATACATGGCGAACTATAATAAAAAACAACAACTGTTCTTGGCAAAGCTGAGGGAAGCAGAAGAAGAGGGAGCCAACATAGATAAACAGGATTAAGGAGATCACTGGAATATCTGGGGAAGTGCTATGGATTATAACTGGGACAGGTAGTGTTCTTATAGTCATATTTGGCCTAAAATTATGACATTTAACTAACATTTCTTATAGCAAAGCTAAATTATATGTCTTCTGCCATGGACTTAAATCTAAGTCTTTCCCTCTTTTAAAAAGTTTTAATAGATACGTTTTATTAAAAAAATGATTATGCAAAATCCTAAAGAAAAAAAGATTAGCACAAGCACATATCCTTTATGGCTATGGATATTTGCTGTAGTCTATTACATGCAGAAGCTACAAAATTGTATGATTTTCCTTCAGGTTTTTTTTAAAAAAGCACAATGCATCTCACCATTTCTCCCCTTTTAAAGCAAATGTCTCATATGAACTAGACTAGAAATTTATTTATGGTACAAGCAACATCGGAAGAGGTGCATGAAAAAAAAATACCAACACTATTTTTTTCTTAAATCCAAGGTCAGAGAAGCAGCAAGTAAATTACATAGAGTATATAGACAATTGGAAGATTATTTGAGCAATGGAATTCTGTTCAGGGCTACAAGGAAGGACATGGCAATGCCATAAAAAAGATGGCAAGGAGCAGAACACAAAAAATGCTTTGCAGTCCATGCCAATGCTTGGACAGGTAGAGGAAACAGAGGCTGAAAAAAATACCAATGAATCAGGCTATAACTTTGAGTTGTCTTAATAGACTATGACAGGAAGCAGATGGAACTGAAAATCCATACTTAAAAATTAAAAGTAAGCTGATTTTCAAGATCTCCTTTTTCTTCCAAGAAGGAAGCCTCTCCCCTTTAATGATGAAGCATCATTCACATATTTAACAGGCCATTTAAATTTTCAGATTGACTTCAAATATGTCTTAATTTTATATTCAAAACACATTCACTGGCCAAAAGATTTGCAACAACTAATGATCAAAATGTGATCAAAACATGAGTTTTTAAAAATTGTAAATGTAAATTCCATTCGTCATTTTGTTCAAGCTCTGTGGTTCAAGCAGTTGAATGCCTTAGACTTCCCTTCTAAGGTTACAGTGACATGATACAAAGCTATAAAATATTAATTCCCACTCTCATATGGCAGGTTTCATCAGAAAAATGAGAATTAAAAATTTTAATCTTCCCAAACTGATTCCATGTTTCTAGAAAACTGCAACCTTATTATACTTTAAAAATATCACTAGATATTTACTTCCTTTTCATGTCGTAAGAATATATTGTAAGCTACTGCACAGTAACATAACAGGATTCTTAATAGCTTAAGTAGCTATTTTTTGTATTTATACAACAGAGCTGTAATATACATATCAAGTATTACAATCCATTTCATAGCAGCAAATGACTTACTACTGAGTACCACACAATGCACTATCTTAGAAAGTATTGAAGAAGTAAAAGTGACAAGAAATCTTATAGCACCTTAAAAATTAGCATCGTTTATAAATCAAATACAAATAGCAAATGAATTTTTTCCCTCAACAGGGTGAATTTCATAGTAAATATTGACTGAAATCTCAAAGATTTCAATAAATTATGTTGGAAAACAACATTCAAATTAACCTTCCCATCAGCAGCCATGTCATCAAAATGTTAAGTTGCATCGTGAAGTGTATCAACTGGAAATTTTTCCAGGCACTATTTCATACAAAGGCACTGGTGCATAAACAAGGGTAATACAATAATGATAAATATCTGCAAAGTCCAATGATTATCATATCCAAGATCTCACAGGATAACTCCAGTATCTTGCATGAAATGTTGCATTCAACTACCCTAAATCTTGCAAGGCTTTGAGTAGCAAAGTCTTCCTAAATTTAGTAATGTTGTTTAAACATTATTCAATGTTAAGGTTCCACAGATGCTATTGCAAGCCCTGCCCTAATGGGAAAATAAGGGAACAAGAGAAATCATATATTTGTGTTAATATCGCACCGATGTCTAGAGCAGAGATCCAAAACTGAACACCCCCCTCCTTAGCAAGATCTTATATGTGGTTCTGGAACTACTGTTAAATTTCAGTAGTGTAGCAGCAAGGATTATCAACACACATTTAATGGCCAACTTTAATATTTGTACTATATTTTATGCCACCTTTTTGTCTGTATAGTTTGCATCAGATTAAACAAGGTTTTAAATTCCTCATTTTATTACTGTCTCTTTTAGCCTTGTTAGCTTGGTTCAAATCAGCAGCGAGCTTGTTTAAATTACCTCCTTCCTTGATCTAGATGTTACCAATACCACTGTCTTTTCATCATGCTCCTTTATTAATATTGATCCCAGAGATATTGTTATCCTCTGGGTGTACCTAAATGTGATATTCCTTCTTCTGATTCGCTTTTTTTCTAGGTAACTAAGTCTGAATGGCAGGTACTTCCAATGCATGCAGACACCCAAATTCAAAGAAACCATAATAGAAAAACAATTGATAAAATTCATTTAATGGATGAACAGAGATGGAGATGGCACAGAATTTGATCAGGGGGAATTTGCATTTCCTAATTAACATTACATCTGGTTTTATATCAGAAATTTTGATGGGTGTGGGGGGGGGGGAAGTATCAGGTCTACCCAGAATCTAATTTATAAATTATAGCAACAGAAGATCTGATGGTGGGAGGAATCAATGAACTGTACTGATTTTACAATAACAGATGGATTTAATAGCAAAACATTCAGGCAGTTTTTCAAGTCAACTCAGAAACAAATGTACTCCATTATTTATTAATTTTGAAACAGAGAAAGTGAGCTGGAACTCTTTGTCCACTGGTTCCTATGGGCTTTCCAATTCTTTACTTTCTTCCTCCCATTACTGAACTCCTATTTTCATTCTGCCCCATGGCATAACCTTTGAAGGTCAAAGCTATCCTCTGTCCAAAGTTCTGCACATATATCCTAGAGTATTAGCATCTCTGTAGAAGTTTGCTACATCTATAGGCTCTTTAGCTCAAAGCAGGAATCATCCTCCATTTCCTCATTTGTTTATCCAGTGCTTATATCCTACCCTGTAGATCCAGGTTGCTCTGGACCAATACTCTCTCTTCTTGATGGCAGAACCATAACCACTTTCAAAGGAGGATATGAGAGTATTAAAATATTTTCCCATCTAACATGGTGGGAAGACAAAGCTGCACATGAAAAAGATCCTACTCGGCTGTAATACAGTGTATCTACTAGCTTTACAAATTATACTTTTAAAATATGGTCTAAAATCTGACCTTCACTGATAAGACTTTTGACAGAATGTTACATATAGGAGCTACTACGTATTTCTGAGAGGAATAAAAGCTAGAACTGTTTCCTAATTTCAAAAAATCATGTTAAAGCAAGGCCCAAGTTTTCAGAAAAGACAATCAGCAAATGTATCATTTAATAAACATATATTTGAAGCATGAGATACTTTTAGTTTTAAATTCAGAAATAATTCCAGTTAGAGATTTACAGGATTGTATTATAAATGTCTTGGCCTGGTTTGGGACAATTTCTGTCAAAAAAAAGAGGTAGATTTGGTTAATGGTTAGGAATATGCTCTACAGATAAGTCTTCTGAAAATAACTTTTCAAAAAGGAATAACAGATTCTATGAAAAATAGCTCTTTATATAACCAATACTGTAGTGGGTTTCAATTTAGTTTGCTACCGGTTCGCTAGTGCGCAGAAGCGTCTGAGTGGGTGGGTGGAGCCTCCCACCACCGCCGCTACCGGTTTGCCTGATCCAGGGCAAACCGGTAGCAACCACCACTGAACCAACATCAATAACCAAGAATTATTTAAAGTACAGAAACTATCCATATGTAAGATATTTTCTTCTGTTGGTGTTACTCAATAAAAGTTCACTGATTTCTGTGAATCAGAATCATGCCTAATTAAATGAATCTGCTAATGATTTATTTTTCCCAAGTTCTACAGTTATATTGTCATCATTAATTACAAACCATTGTAATTTTCACAGAATCCAATTGCTTTTAAAAATCCAGAGGACAAAGTGCATATGAGAAGAAAACCTGACACAAAAGGGTTTTGATTGTATTTATTAATTTGCTTTGTTTATAAGATGGTTTTATCTGTATTTAAATGCTGCTTAATAATATTTTGTGGCAAAAAGTAATTCTTGATAGATGGAAAGTGTAGAATCAAATTTTACTATTTTGTTATCTTCAGCATTAAACTTTCCTAATGCAAAAGATTTCAGTAGAAGCTCACAGAGTAAAGAATGTATGTTCATTTTAGCTTACATAATAATTTACAGGAGAGTCTATCTCTAGTTTTAGTTTAAAATATTTTGAAGTACTAACAAAATGAATTCCCTTAAATGAGTATCTGGGTGGTAACATTCATGAAATAGGCTTTATTCAGAAGAAGGATACAAAAGTCACTCTGTGATGCCCTTTCCCTGTTAATGTCCCCCACTATATTCCCCCATAGAACCAGGCTTAAACTGAGATTTGTTAAGATATTAATAATGGCAGTTAATGTCAGATTTGCATTCAGAGAAGAGATTTGAAGTTAGAGGATTGTAACAAAAGGGGACATTTTTCCTGGAGGAAAATTATTGCAGCCTTCAAATCTCTTCTGGGCACCCACCCACCCCATCAGCTTTTTAAATTATGTTTAATCCACAATACCCATTTTAATTAAATAGCATTATATTTTTAGAACTTGAGAAGGGATCAGCAAATAGCCGATATTTGCTATTATCATGTTTAATCATGATACTATTATTTAATCAACCAGAGTCCTTTCTGAGCTCTTGTGCACAAGACCTAGAATACTTAATCTGTATTTAGTAAATGAAACGTACTCCTGAAAATTTGTTGCTTCTCAGTTAGCACGCAGTGGCTAAGACATGTTACCTGTTAACCTGCTTGTACCCTGTGAGTACAGACAAAAATGGGGTCAGAGACAATTTAAAAAATGACAACAACTAACCAGCACATGATTAGACCTCGGATTGAGCTTTATATTGATGTTACACTGGTGGGGAACAATATAAAATGTGATATCATTTATTAGCTAACAAGTTTATGTAGACCAGAATGTTATATGCATTTTATGTTGTACGCATTGTCTTCCATAGTATGTCCAAAGTAAAAGCAGAAAAAGTTCAAAATGACATCCACATGATTCTATTAAAAACCCAACACCATTAACTTCTATTCCACCTCAGTTTAATATACATCAGTTCTCAACTTCCCTTCCTAATGATCATCACCATCCAAACTCTAGATGGATATTGCTAGAGGCAGGACCTTCACAGTTTTCTTCTAAGGCAGTCCCCAGACCTACTGTACCAAGTGGGCCATTTTTAGATGCTCACCTCCAGCACATCTTCTTCCAAACATGCAATTAAGAGAGTTTTTACTTGCCAACAAGTTCCTGTGCTTTCATGCAAAGATTGAAATACAGACTGATAAAGAAAAGCAATGGGAAGCTCACTGTATAAAAATAAGGAGCAGTTCACCTAGCAGTTCAATCACATACTTAAAAACAATACAAGCAATTCATTGTCAGTTCAATCTTTTTGCTTTATCAAGATTATCCTAAATATAACTGTGTTACATGGAATGTGCAAAAGTCACCATAGGCTGCAAGAGGCCTGTCAAAGCTCTTGCACCTTAAGTAGAAAAACTCAAATCTGTTAAAACAAGACGAAAAACTTCTACAACTTAAAATATGCTTGAAGTCACATTGTGAGGGTTTCTTTTTAAAGTGAGCACTTGCAAGTAAACCTTTGGAAATCAAGAAACCTAAGAGACTGTCAATATCGCAGTGATTCACAATTTCCCTACAAGAAAAGAACCCAGCTAACTATGGCTCCACAGAGCCACAAGCCCCTGACAAGCATTCAGACAAACATTAATTACACACCAATTAGATTGTCTCTGCAGCATAAGCATGCCTTTAAAATATTAGCATTAGGTGTTACATTGCTAGATAATATGAAGGCCTGTGAAATAGTGACACCTTATTTTACTGTATCTGGAGCATGGTAAAGTTTTCCTTGCCCCAAAATACTGCTTTTTCTCCTTTTCCAGCAGTATTGCTGACCCACAATCAGCAGGAAATCTGCCTGATACAGCATGCAGCTGCAATCTAGTGGCAATTTTATTAATCTGGACATAGTTGAGGTATAAATAATTTTCTTTATCCATGCTTTCACCCAAGCAAAAGTTTACTTGAAATTAAAATAGAATCTCAGACCATTAATCTTGTAGACACTATTGTAGAGGACATTAAACATTTGGTTCTTTTTTTTAAAAAATGACAGTCATATTTTTAAAGTCTTCATCTAACTAAATGTTAATTAAAATAAGGATCTAAACTTTACTTATTAAAGTGCATCAACTAATCCTAATTTTGTGCTTCCTAAAAACCCACAATTTTGCTTAATTTGTTTCAAAAATATCAAAATATATCGTTGCAGTGAATTCAAATATTATGTGCCATTATATTTCTTGGTTTAACAATGAAATCTTAAGGCGTTCTTTTTTTTGAAGTGATGTCAGATTAGCTGGGTGAAAGAAATGTTGCAAAAGAAGTTTTAAATCATGATTAAATGCTTATAAAAGGATTTCAAGAAAAATCTGTGTCTCATGAAACAAATTATTAAATATAGCTTCTATTCTAAACCAGTCTTACCTGCCCCACAGTTATTTTGACCATCTCCAACCCTACAACTAATTTTCCAAAACAGACATGGTTTTACATTAAATTTGAAAGAGCAAGTAGAAAAATTAATGACACATTAAAAAAAAATCCTTATCATTCAAAAGATCTCATAAGGAACGTGAACATAGTAAACATTCAGATTTGGAATCCAAGAACATTTCTGAATAGAGAAGACAACTATGTATAAAAATTGTTTTTATAGGGAATGAAGATACTAGCAACTAAAGCAATCTACAGAGACAAGAAGTCTAAAATGCAAGCAAAACATGCCAAACATTGGATCTTCTGTCCCCTAAAAGTGTTGTAATTTTTGAAGATAAATCTTTTTAAAAAAATTTATCTCCCAATGTTTGATATTCAAAAAGGATATTCAAAGAAAAGCAGCTGACTGAACTAACCAAAGCCAAGAACAAAAAAAGAAAGAAACAGCCAATAACGGAATGGCTTTTTCCACTGAAACAGCAAATGTAAGGGAAAAACAACAGAAAACCAGCTTAAAATGAGAACATATATGCATGGTTGACTTTTATGAAAATAATAAATACACAAACTTCCCCTTTAAAATAAAAACTGGCATCTCAAAAATGCAATTTGTTGTTCAGGGGAAAAAATGATAATCTGCTGGTATATAGGTTAAACTTCTTTGACTTTGGTGTGTCTAAAGAAACATACAAGGTTTTCCTCCCTCATGCTCTGTTCCCCAGCTTTTTTATAGCACTGACCAGCCACAAGAGAGTTCAGTTGCCTTTGGTCTTGCTATGATCCCAAACAAAAATAAGGGCGCAATAAACACATTCTATACACTGATTAAAAGACAGAGACATGTGAAACCAGGATGGGGTGAAAAGTAGCATGGAGAGCAGCATCTCAGGCTGAAACAGAGGAGTATTTATGTTATTAGACTAGAGTTTTATCCAGCATATTCTTTTTTTAAAAAAATTCAAAGTAATTTGGTTTCCCCCAACTGTCATGGCTCACATTCATGACCCTGGACATTTCCAAAAGTTGAGGTTTCAGAGGGCAAATGCACAGTTGTCCTGAGTACATTTTCCCACATGGGCCTATTATGGTGATCTTTTCATAAAATCAAAACATTAAGATGCAGCTTTCCCTTTGCCCTCTCTTAATATTCAAAAGTTCATTAAGTCCAGCTAATTTGGAGAAGGGATGTTTAGGAGACTCATCTAAAAACAAATATTTTGATCTCAGTAATTGCCTGGGTCAAACTGACCTCCCTTTTATTGGGTACCAATTGATTCTTTTCTCCAGAGACCTAACCCCAAGAATAGAGGCATGGAAACACGTCCTGTTCTTTTGCTCCTTCTTGAGTTGTTGGCAATTCCAGAAAAGGGGAGAGGGGGCTCATCTTCCACTAGACAAGAGGAACAGCAGGCCAGTCAGACAGTCTGTGTTAAGCAGTGTCTTTAAAATTGATAATTAAAAAACAGATATGACTATTTAGGTATCCCTCCTCAGGGCCATGTTGATATGAGGAAAAATAACTTTAGAGACAACATTCATTCCCACTATTACTGCTTGAAACCCTTTGTGCCGTTGCTCTGACATCACAATGACAAAAATACTATGATGAATTCCAATTGGATGAGAAGAAGGGTGAGAGGTTAATCCCGATGCCGTGGAAACATGTCGAGGATGAATTCAGCAATGCCGATGAAATAGACAACTTGTGCAATACCAAAGAGTGGGGCAATGACCAAGGCTCTGCAATATGCCCCCTTAAAAAAGGCCAAGGGACCCTCATTACGCCAGATTTTCCTAGAAAAAGACACAGAGAAAAGAGATGAAATCACCATTGGCTTCAAATATCATGTTAAACTATGATTGGTTTTAATAACAGTTTGTTGAATACATTGCATTAATCCACAAAACATAGTTTACAACCACACTGTCTGGAGTTGGAAAACATGCCAAGCAGGGGTGAAATGTAAAATGTGTTACTACTGGTTCTGTGGGCGTGCCTTGGTGGGGTGTGTGTGTAATGTGACTGGGTGGGCGTGGCCAACTTTTTTTTTTTTTAACTTTTCAAAGGATTTTTTCTAATGCTTTGAAAAGCCTCTGGCAATCAGGCAACTCAGCTGGGATCGTCAGAGACTTGTCAAAGCATTTTTTTTATCACCTCTTCGGCCAAGAGGTTGCAGAAAAAAATGCTTTGAAAAGCCTCTGAGGGGGGCTTCCGTTTTGGCATCACGGCGATGCAGTCAGGGAAATAGCGGGCTCTCATGAGCCCCGCAAAAACCCCAACTGACGAACCACCGACAGGTCTGCAGACTGAACCTGTCCTGTAGGGACAGGGGAAAGAGAGGGACACCTTGAGTGGCCGAGAGGAACAGGCAAGTTCCTTGGAGGCGGGAGGAAATCCTCTGAGTCGGCGGGGGGGGGTGTGTGCCATAAAGCTGGGACAAACTGGGACAAGAAATGCGCAGGAGGAAGGAAAAAAGAGCGACGTGCTCTGAAGCCGGGTGAGTGACACCAACCCAGGTGAGAAATAACCATAGAGCATTGATGTTTACTAATAAGATCCCCAGCCTTAAACAGCGGCTGAAGATCTGTGGGGCTTGAAGATTGTGTAAAGTAATGAAAGGAGATAAAGACCCTTTAAGAAATCTACTTTAGTACTGATTGATTGGAATGAACTGACTACTAACAAATTAAAATTAGATATTTGAATTTCTTTTTTTAAATTGTAGCAGACCTGATCCTTGGAAAAAGAGAAAAGTGATAATTAAGGACTTGGCACCTTTAAAAGCCAGACAAAGCGATCAAACGGATAGTTACATAGTTGCTTCAAAATGGTGATTGTATCCGTGACTAAGCAAAAGTGTGGATTGTAGAAATTTGCCCTCTGCATGAAAAAGAACCATTTTGACTTGCTATTTATTTTGGATTACTTTGAAAATAACTATGGACTTTTGGATTTTGGAGATTCCTATTCTGTCTACAGATGGACTCACAAAGAAAGAAGAAATACAATGGAACTAATAAAATTGAAATTAATTGGCGTAGCAACAAAAGAACTGACACAGGAATAAAAGTGGGGAAACTGATGGACTTTACAGGAAACAGATTCTACAATGGAATTAAAATGATATACAGAGGTTTAAGCATGGAAGTACTGACTACAAATTGAAATACTTATGGACAGATAGGGAAATGAAGAAATAAAATAGATAAAATTAAAAGGCAATGCTTAAATGTTTAAATGTTAAAATGCTTAAAAGTTTAAATGAGCTTTAAATAAAAACAGGAGGTGCCTGTGTGGTAATAAAGATAGAAAACAAAAGAAAATAATTAAAATAGAAGTTTGAAGTTAAGGTGGTTAAAAGTGATATTTTTATAAAAGTATAATTTGATGTAACATGTTTTAATTTTAAATTGCTAACAAAGTTGAGAAGGAGAATTATGATTAATTGTTAATGATTATGGATGGTACAATAAGGTACACAGATTGAAGTAACAATTGAGATTGAATGTAACATATGTTGGAAATGATTAATATTAAGAAACAGATGGGGAAACACCCTGGAAGAGTATACTTGGAAATAGTTGATTCATAGACAAATATATTGAAATATATTGAAAAGGAAATACTTAAAATAAGATATGCTGGTTATTAGCTAAACAAAAGGTGGAGATGTGGAGGAAAATATGCTGGAAATCAGCTAAAATAAAAGATGCTGGAAATCAGCCAAACAATTGATGGGAGTACGGAGGAATATATGCTGGATATCAGCCAAAATAAAGCATGCTGGAAATCAGCCAAAACGCTGGAAAATGCTGGAAATCAGCCAAACAATAGTTGGAGTTATGGAGGAGAATATGTTGAAATTCAGCCAAAATAAGTTATGCTGGAAATCAACCAAACAATAGGAGGAGTAATGGAGGAGAATACACTGGAGAACAGTTATTAATAAAGGGTGAAAAAGAAAATGTTAGACGACAATTGAAATGAAATGAAAAACTTTGAGATGTCTGTGTAAAAGTTTAAGATTTAAAGATTGGATGAAATGGGTGTAGATACTAAGAAGAACAGAAAGAATTTTGATTAATAAATTGAAATAAAAACTGAGTTGTATATATTTGGAAATTAAGATCTGTGGTGATAAAATGGTAAGGTAAATATATAGATTAAGAGGTTAAATTATTTTTTTTAAAAAAAAATTCTGTATTTTATTGTTGAAAAGGAGCAATGGAGAAAAATTTAGAAAGAGCTGTATTGAATTTCGATTTATAATTGAATATAAAAATGAGTTAAGTCTATTTGGGAATTAAGATTTATGGTGATATAATAGAAAGGCTTAAATTAAGATGTTAGAATTTATGTTAAAATATTTGTTTTTATCTGTAAAATTAGCATACTTATCAATGACCGGATTAAGATTTCGTTCTTGAAAGATATTTTTTATGTTTATGTTTGGAAAAAATAAAAAAATATTTTAAAAAAAATCACAGGGAGATAAAGGATTTGATGCATGATATAGATATTAAACTAGAAAATGTTCAACAAATGACACTGAAAAATGAACAGGAAATGCAGGAAATAGAGGAGAGCTTTGGAAAAGCAGGGAAAAGGGAAGAGCATATAAAACAACAAATGAACCCAAAAGATAAGGAGAAGGAAGAGATAATGGCCCGCAGGAATTTTTGCTACCGGTTCTCCGAACCACCCGCTGCCATCGCTACCGGATTGGGTGATCTGGTCCGAACCGGGAGCATTTCACCCCTGATGCCAAGCCAGTATCAGATCAACCACTTTACATGTCAGGTTTACACGCCTCCTCTGGGAAGGGGCCCAGAGGAGAAAGTACCACTCTTGAACATGAGTCCATCTAGGTTTCAGGTCTGGCACCAGCCATGAAATAGGGTGGGGGGTGGGGATAACAATTGCAAACCAGGAGGTCTTGAAAGCTTTCAGAAGCTCTGCTCTGGACATAATCTGATGTAAACCCCTTCAAGATGGGCTTTAGAGAGCTGCTGGATTTGTTGCTGTTGTACTGGTCTCCATGCTTGTAGCAAGAATTCTGCCAGAATTCTATTGCTGAGTTAGCCATTCAGTCTCTGTGGTTGCTAGTTCTTGGGGTTTAGCTTCTTGTGAGTGACACAGATTATGGGGTGGTTAAGGATCACCATGGTAACCATGGACCTGATCCAAGTCACTGAGGTCTCAACAGACAACAAGGATAACACCCTAAATCTGGACCTGTTGTATCTTGGATCTTATCTTGGACCAGTTGTAATGTGGAGGATATCACCATAGAGGTGTTTTTTTTTTACCATAGTTGGATCATTCTATGATTGCTTGCTGAAGCAGTAGCAAGTTTTATGCCAACCACTCTCAAGATACTATCCTTCCATTGCTAATCCTCTGTTAACTACTCATTAACAACATCCTTCAGACAGAGATAATTTACCTGGCACAGTCTATTATCCCTGAATATGTGTCCTCATTGACTCCTCTCTGCAAGGACTGAAGTCTTGTCTTGATTACTGCAGAAATATATAGTAGTAGAGTTTGTTATAATCAGTGCCTTCATTTGTGTCAAGTTATTTTTGCAAGTTTTTCAATTGTTACAGATACTTCTATTCAATCAATCAATCAAAGCTGTACTGGAAAAGATCTTATCAATTCTCACTCCAAGAACATATTAATATTTAATCTTGATTTAGAACATTGTTCTTAGAACTAATCTAAGTGGGGATCATTTCAGAAGGGACCCCCCTTACTTCTCTGTAAAGTAAAAATAAAAGAAGGGGTAAGAGCTTTCAGACCCTGACACTCAGAGGTTTTCAATGGAAAGAGATGTTGACAGCTTTTTGTTCGAAATTGTTTATGAACCACAATAAAATACATGGGAAAAATCCCATTGTCATACAAATGAAACTAAGGTTAGAGTTAGGTTTACTTGGAGTAATGGATGAGAAGTATTAATAGGGAATATTCTTAGCAGTTTTCTAAGAAAAGAGCTGGTGACAACCTTTTGTTCACAGTTATTTGTGGACCACAGTAAAATGCATAGGAAAATCCCATTGCCAATCAAAATAAATCTAGGTTAGGGTTAGAATTAGGTTTAGGGTTAGTGTTTGGTCTGCTGGGAGACATGGCTAACAATTAATGTTAGGGATACATTCTTAGATGTTTTCTAAGGAAAGCAATGTTGATAGCTTTTCATTCTAAGTCATTTTTGGATCACAGTAAAATACATAGGAAAATCCCATTAGCAAGGAAAATGAATCTAAGGTTAATTCTTCTTGGAGTAATGCCCAAAAGTAATGATAGGGATAGATTCTTAGAGGTTTCCTAAAGAAACAACATTGACCAAGTTTCTCTCTGATTTGATTCTGAACCACAGTAAAATATATGGGAAAATTCCACTACCAATGAAACTACGGTTAGGGTTAAGGTTAGGTCTACTTGGAGTCATGACAAAAAATAATAATGCTAGGGATAGTTTCCTAGAGGTTTTCTAAAGAAAGTTGATAGCTTTTTGTTAGGAGTTGTTTGTAGACTACAGTAAATTACATGGGAAAATCCCATTGCCAAGGAAAATGAATCTAGGGTGAGGATTAGGTCTCATGGCAAAAAATTAATACTAGGGAGGGATTCTTAGGGGTTTTCTAAGGAAAGCGATGTTGATAGCTGTTCCTTTGGAGTAGTTTGTGGACCACACTAAAATATATGGGAAAATCCCATTGCCAATGAAAATGAATCTCAGGTTAGGGTTAGGGTTAGGTCTACTTGAAGTCATGGCTGAAAAGTATTGTTAGGGAAATTGTACTGTATATTCTTAGTGGTTTTCTAAGAAAAGTGATGGTGACAGCTTTTTGTTGAAATTTGTTTGTGAACTACAGTAAAATATATGGGAATATCAATTGCCAATGAAAATGAATCTACGGTTAAGGTTAGAGTTAAGGTTATGTCTACTTGGAATCATGCCCAAAACCTAAGTAGCCAATAGATTCTTAGCAGTTTTCTAAGATCAAAGACTGCGAGAGCTTTTCATTCAGTGTTGTTTGTGGATTACAAACATTTGAGTAACATACACTCAAAAATCTCTTTGCTAATCAAAATGAAAATAGGGTTAGGGTTCAGGTTAGGTCTACATGGAGTCATGGCTGAATAGTATTGTTAAGAATATATTCTTAGAGATTTTCTAAGGGAAGAGATGTGACAATTTTTCCTTTGGAATAGTTTGTGGACCCCACCAAAATATATGGGAAGATTGCATTTCCAGTGAAAATGAATCTAGGGTTAGGGATAGGGTTAGATCTAAACCAATAGTGTTAGTATTCCTAGTTGGTACATCTTTTCTGAGTTTCACCAAAGACTAACCATTTATAATCTAAATTTTGTTCAGTAAACTGTGTCTGAATGGATGATTCATGAGAAGTATAGACTTCAACATGTGTAAACCAACTCCTTGAAAAATCTCTGATGCTTCAGAGGAAGACATGTGGAGCCTTCAGATGGTTTGGAGTTAACCCTTCATTCCACATGGATTGCCTTAGCTGGTTATTTGCTTTTCTTGGGAATAGCAGCAGAGAATAAATTATCCCAATAATCTTGTCCACATTAGCAAATGAACATCAGAATTCTGCTGTGCTAATATATGGACAGTGTTAACACAGCAGAATTCTGATATTCATTTGCCAATAAGGACAAGGTTTTTCCAAATTTGCCTTTGATGTGTGGAGCTAATTTTAATTTAAAATATTCCAAACACTTAGGACTTATTTTAATTACAGTTTTTAAATGTCTGTTTTACTGTTTTTGTTTTGTTTTGGTTATTTTCCTCAACATCCATAGCCAGCAATGTTGATGGATCTTCCTGCCCCCACACCCCCAATGAATGCTATAAAAGTACTTACCATCACAAGGATTGACAGCTACGGCTGCTGTGCTGCCTGCTGCGCATCCAGACAGGAAGGAGACATAGAATGGAGCCTTGACATCAGGGCTCTTCTGACCCAATTTATTTAGGTTGGCGAACAGTGGAAAATAAACAATGGAAAATGGGACGTCCCTACAAAAAGAGAGGCACACAATGAGTGGGATTTTTGAAAAGCTGTTTCTTTCTGTCCCATAATAGCACTAGTTGGCCACACACATGTTCATTATAACTATCTGATGTATACATTGAGAAAGTAATTCTGTTTCGTACTTTATATTTGCATTTAGCTCCATAAAGCTACCTCACAGAGCATCCCTGGCAAGTTTTTGGCCTTCCTGACTGAATGAACGCTCAAGCGAAGGTAATGGTGCTCATTTGGACCCCCCCCTTTCCAGCCAAGCCCCTTCTTCTCTCCTATAATATCTTCTTGCTTCCAATTTACATGCAAAGAAATCTTCTGAGACTAGCCAAATCAGCAGCAAGCAGTAGTGATTCTTAACATAATTTTAGAAATACCTCAGAAATAATAAATAGAACACTTCTGACAGAAACACATGATTTCTTCTGAATGGGAATAGAGCCAAGTGGCTGTGCTCAAAGGCAGGAATTTCCATACATTAGGACCTTTTGCCTAAACACACACATGCCACTGAAATGGTGGTGTGTACGTCTGGAGAAAATGCCAACCTGAGCAACGTGGCTCCAAGTCCTTTATACAGTCCTGCAATGCCTTTGCTCCGAAGCAAATCTCTTGTGATTTGCATCGCTGTCATTCGCGTCTCTACCACCGACTCTGCAGCTCCAGTGCCAGTGGATGACGGGCTGAGCTGAGCTTGTCCTATCATGGACTTCTTCTGAGCAGCTGTAGAGGAACCAAAACAGCAAAACCACTTAGTTTCTTCCATTTTAGTCTGAGGATGCAGCACAAGTGGAAACCACAACAGATGGGTAAGCTGTTAAAAAGGTATTCTTCTCTGACTTCAGAATAAATGAAGCACAAGACACAAGAATTTTGCTTGTTCTTATTCAAAGATTACTTTGATACATATGCCAAGGGTATGCTCATTTGTAATTTTTTATTGGTTAGCTATTACCATTATGTTGAACCAGGTTCCTGGAAGACCAATATAATATGTATTGATATACTATATTTGAAAGATCTAGAATTCTTCTACCCTGTTTTCCCCCAAATAAGACATCCCCTGATAAGCCCAATCGAGCTTTTGAGCGCATGGCAATAAGGCCAAGCACTTATTTCAGGGTTCAAAAAAATATAAGACAGGGTCTTATTTTCGGGGAAAGACAGTATCTATGAAAAAAATTGCTACTGTATATCAAGCTTGGACTGATGTGAAAGAATATCTATTCCTGAGACTTTATATGTTGGTTTAATAAAACTGTCAACACTCAGCCTTTGAATTAGCTGGATAATATTATTGTATAGTTAGTCCTCAATTTACAACCACAGATGTGGCCAGAATTTCTGTTAAATGTCGGATCCAGTTTTATGACAATCATGCGATCATTAAACATATCCAGCTTCCCCAATGGGTATTTTTTTTACTGGAAATAGACAAAAAATATATATCAGAAATCATGATCATGACTACAGGATGCTACATCTGATCCTGAATATGAGCCGGTTGCCAAGTACATGAATTACAATCAAGTGACCATGTGGGTGTGAGACAGTCGTAACTACAATTACATCTCATAAATCATTTTTTCCAAAGATATCATAACTTTGAATCATTGTTAAACAAATGGTTGTTAAGTCGAGGACTACGGTACCTGTATAAGGTCTAGGTTTAATTCATTATTTAAAAATTGGATCATGCGGTTGAAATGAAAGTTATATAATTTCAGCAGCCTGATACATTGTTTTCTTCGTTATTCAACTTCCCCTCCTATAGTTAGAATTAGATACCACGTAAGTGTAGGTGTAGGTTTTTGTTTTTAGTGTTACTTCACATTTCTTGTAATTTTTTCTTTTTTCTTTTCCTTTTCAGGCAGTTACCTTTTTTTTCTTTCCTTAGGTAGTTTAGAATTGCTTCCCCGTTTTTTTCACTACATAGTTGTTTGTACAGTTTATAATTCATATTTAGTCTTTGTATATATTTTACATAATAACATATAATAGTCCTGCATTCCAGTGGTGGGTTTCAACATTTTTTACTACCGGTTCTGTGGGTGTGGCTTGGTGGGCATGGCTTGGTGGGTGTGGCAGGGAAAGGATACTGTAAAATCCCCATTTCCTCCCTATCATCTGGGACTCGAGAAGCAGAGAATAGATGGGGGCAGGGCCAGTCAGAATTTTTACTACCGGTTCTCTGAACTACTCAAAATTTCCACTACCGGTTCTCCAGAACTGGTCAGAATCTGCTGAACCAACCTCTGCTGCATTCATTAATAATATAGTTATAATCGTTACAGTTAAGATGCTATTTAGGTTATACACAATATTATACTAGCAACTAGGGTTTTTTTATAAAATAAATGTTAATGTTTTTGAAGTGTATTAAAAACATATTTAAAAATAATAAATTAAGACTTCTGGGAAAGAAACCATAAACTGAAAATGATACCACAAAAAGTGGAGCCAACAACCACAGTGGAATGAAGAGGTGGACATCTCTTTGATAATTCCTCTCAGGATAAAGAGAGGATTTGAGCTTGACCACAAGTGCTCCACACAGTTGCTTCTCACAAGGAGACTGCAAGACAGCGGTCTCTGGCAGATTTAGAACTCTGGGAGGTCAGGAAATAGACACCTTGCACAAACTATAGTCAGTGCCTTTAAAAGGGCACTGGGTTCATATAATTCCTTTTCTAATCACTTCTGAAATTTGTTTCTTAACTGCTTCAGGAAAAGCAGATGTTTTTTAGGAAGCTTTGTATTGACAAGCTTTGTGATCTTGCCAGACCAAAAAATCACCTTTAATCTCAAATCTTAATCTTGTAAAAGTTTTATTTTTCCCTCTCTGAATTTCTGCTGTTATCAGCTAAGGGCACAAATCAGGGGCAGACATTTTAATTTATGTTTAAAATCTACACCCTCTGCTTTTTCCCATTAACTACTCTCTTTGTAATCTTTCTATTTTTTGCCACAGAGTAGGCTACATGAAGTCTTACCAAAGCTAGTGTATAGAGTTAAAATAGCTTCTGAGCAAACAAGATACATATATCAACCTTTGTGCTACAGTGGCAATTTTCTGCAAATAAGAATAAGAATAATAAGAATAAGAATCTGCATTAGCTTATTTGAACTGAAAAATGCAGAGACAGGGACAAAGAGGCAAATAAAAGTATAAAGAGATAATATAGCTCATTCACAGCAGTCTAGCTTGATAATGTCTATACTAGACTGAGGCTTTAGGAAATAAATGAACAGTGTGGCTGACTCAGCTCCAACAATAGCAGTCATTTATCATTCAACTCTATGTCCCACACTAACATCACTCCAGAAGGAGGTGGAAGTGGCTCCCACAAGCACTATGAACTGTTGGCTTGGGGACCCGCACCCCAACACTTCCACCTTCAAATGAAAGGTGTCCATTTGAAGATGAACCATTCCTGAATCAGTAAAATTAATATTTAATATAATAAGTGAAGTGTGTCCCACCATTTCAGAGCACACATATTCATCCTTTTCCTGCTCTGCACAGATTGAGTACTGGATTTTGTTTTGAAGTAGATCAGTCCACAAAAAAAAGTGTGTGTATGTCTCTGTGTGGGTGCGTGGGCGTGTGTAGAAGAATTAGAAGAGTGGCACATAAAACTTGCGTAAGGCAAAACTAGGGCTTTGGAAGGCAACTGTACAAGTGGGGAAAAGAGAACAAGTTGAATAAAAACATCAAGTGACTAATTCTCTTTCTTGCATGAGTTCTCCAGTTTACTAATTTACTACCACAAGAAAGCTATTATTTTTCCTTTCCTTACTCCACTATTTAAATACTTATAAGATCCAGTTTCATTAAAAAAGAGTCCTATATATGAGGTAAATCACCCATGTCTGGACAAAAAGAGAAAAGACTTCTCCATAAACAAAGGGTAAATAAACTGATGTTATCATAGCTCTAATTTGTCAGACTCCAAATGTATTCCTAAACTTTATTATTGAATTCAGCTATTAAAAATGGGGCTATTTAAGAAACCTTTTGACTCTTAATATAATCATCCATTTCGTATATTTACTGCTATTAGTTAGCTGTTTCTATCTTTGGTTTAATTTTTTTAATCTTTTAGGGATTATTTATGCAGATGTGTAATTGTACCATGGATGTTTTAATAACATTGTGATTGTAACCTGCTGAGTCTTTTATCAATTGCAATGGGTGAAAAAAAAGAGTAACAATAACTCAATCTGCCCAATCTGGCATCCTGTCATTGTTTTATAGAGGACATCCTGTTATCTCCATGACTCCTGCCCATTTTCAGGACATGGTGGAAATTTTAGTCTAAATCTATGCCTAAGATGGATGGTTTGGGAAAACTGCATCTTTCTCTTTGTAAAATCTTAAATTAGGATAGCTTGCCTCAAGTCCCACTATCCATGAAGTAGCTCACTCTTAGCTTTCTCTCCTTATTAGGAATCATTGGATGCATTTTCTATTATTACATGAGCACTGTAAGGAAAGTAGAGAGAGAGAGAGAGATAAGGTACCAATTCGGCCTGCATCTTGTAGCTGGATTTTGAGCATCTCCATGGGTGTAGTGACAATCACCTGGCAGGTCCCTGCCCCACAACCAGCCAGCATCTCTTTCGGCAGCGTCAACTTGCCCCTGGCAAAAAGACAGGGAGAAAGAAACAAACACACAAGAAAATCAACTAAGCAATCCAACCACTCAGCATAATCTGATTTCAAGCAGCAGCAGCAGCAACAACAACAACAACAAACCAGACAAGTTTTGTTCTTTCAGTCAAATGCCCAGTTTTTACTGCTAATGAATCAAATGACAAACAAACTGTAAGGGAATGAGAGTCGTCAAACCTGTCCAGTTTGGTCTTCTTGATCATGAATGCAATGGCATATAAAATCTGAAGACTACTAGCTAAATAGCACAGCACTGCAGCACAATTTTGAAAGACCAAAGGTTTTTTTAAATGAACAAAGACAGCACTCAGAAAAATGAAATATATACTGTCCTTGCTTTTATTCAAAGACCATTTCTATGTTATTATTTTAAAACAAGAACTACAGCCAGATTTATCCAAACACACTCTTTGGCAAAACACTGAAGACACAAACAAATAAACCACAAACATTGGAGGCAAGGAAAAAAAATTCCAGGGAAATTAGTTATGTTAATCTGTAAAGCTAGATGTCTCTCTAAGAGGTTGACAAGAATCCTGTTTTGGAAATAAAGCCACTGCAGTGCTAGGCAGTAAATTTCTCTCTTACAGTATTTTGGCTCTGCAGAAGTGTAATGCAAATCATAATACTACCTACAGCTGTCATCACCTGATGACATTAGAAGGTCATAATGTAATAGGAGACTGTAGCCACAGGAGTATCATCACCATGAGAGCAAAGGAGGATAACAGGAAAGGAATTTGGTCTTCTTGGTCAGGCAACACTTTGAGAAAGAAGTAACCTTCAAGGAGGACAATATAAGGGGGATGAAGGAGAAAAGCAACTGCATCATGGGTCGTCCCTTTAACCCTGAGGCATATTGGCTTTAGTTTTAGCCCTTTCCATCAAACTACAATCTACTGTTGTAGAAGTTTGTAATCTCAAAGGGTGCCTATAAAATTTGCCACCATATTGTATGGTTTTCATGGGAGAAAAGAAAAATAATTAAATACTTGAGGATTAAGTGAATTAAATATTAAACTTTTTGTTTTCCACTACTGGCTACAAACAAATAGGAAGGTTCAGATACTTTTTATAACTTAGTGTAATATAAGTGATCAAATCTGAAACTCTTAGCCTGTAATACTAGGCAAAAGCAGAGCAGTTCACAGTGTTGGGAATAGAACAGGCTGAAATCCCATCACACTCAAGTCATCAAGAGGTTATCTTCAAAGCCAGAATTAAAAGAATATGCTACTTGATTAAAAAAACAAAGCCCTCCCATACTCATGCCTCCTAGTAGAATTCAGAGACTTTCTGTTTTCTTCTTTTCAACGTAACATTTAACTTCATGACCAGAAACAGTTTATGATGTTTATATGGATTTTTTTGAAGGGACTTTTGACAAGGCATCCATGACCAATGACCAGCCTAATCAGAAAGAATGATATGAAACAATGTTTCCGCATTTTAATATGTACTCATTCTTTTGCATTTTTAATATATCTTCTTACTGTACATGGTGGAAAATATGAGAGGAGATTGTTAAATCACTTTAGTTACACTGAATAAAGAGTATCAGGAAAACATAGTTTAGATAAGCTTAGCATAAATCACACAGAGATCCAGTGTGGAACCCTCTTTCTGAGTGCACAGGCTGGGCTATTTTTGGCACTAAGGTTAATTTGTCACTTCTCAGAGAATTCAGAGCAACCAAAGATCTTGGCTACCAGCCACTAGCTAGAGCTGGAAATGAGGTGGTACATTGCCCAGTTATGTCTTCAAAGCCAACACCACATAGCTGAAGCTTAGCATCTGTGATCCATCAAAATCTTCCCTCTGTGGGAAGCCTGGAGTAGCATAACATTCATCCCCTTACCTAGAGGGACTGCCACTGCTTCAAGTTTCCTCTCCGGCTCAGAAAAATAGCTTCAGGCAACCACAAGCAGCCAGTTCCTCAGTCTGCATGATTGCTGCTTAGGTGCGGAGTTCTCTCATCTGAGGAGATTATAGTTGTAAGGCCACAGCAGAGATGATCAAATCACTAAATATAGATTTCTCCTTTGAGAATATAGGAAGGAATTTTCACTGCACCCAAGTCACATTGGTACAAAAAGAAAACAGAGTTGGCAACATCCTTTTTAAACCATTAAAGCAATCAATTCCCTCCTTGAATAGAATCCGTCAGGGAATCAATTCTTTAAGGGATTAATTTTCTGTATTAGTTTTTTCTCACAAAATAACTCTTAACTCCTTCATAGGTTTAGATTTTCTTTTGAATATCTGTTGAAAATTATTTCTACGTACTCAAAAACTGAGAAGTGGGCACTAGCTACTTTAAAAATACTTTTACTCATTTTATGATGAGCTACAATATTTTAAAAATTGAAGTTAGTTTGTCACTTGCCTCCAAAACTTTTCCCCACATTTTTCACTGAAACGTGACTGAAATAATCTTAGTTTCTGGATCAGGATGTGCAGAAACTAGGTCATAGCCTGCTTGTGATATCTATTTTTAGTAAAATGTTGAGCTTCTCCTGTTTGGTGGAAGGCTACTTTGGAAAAACTCTCCCGATATGTTGGGAAAGCAATTCCCACCATTTCTAATTAGCTAGGCTGAAGTCATTCTGGAAGCTGCAGTCTGATGGATGCTACTTTGAAAAATACTGCTCTAAAGAATGCTGGATAAGTAAAAGTTATCTAATTTTTTACATTATAATCATTAATTTTATCACCACAATCATTATTTATTATCCACTTTTCCACTACAGGTACTCAAAAATGCATCATTCATTAACCAGAAATCCCTTAAATAAGCCTTTACAATTTAACAGTCTTAAGTAAGTAAACTGAAGACCAATGGTAGACCCTTAAAAAAAGATCATACCATATTTAGCAAAACAAAAAACCACCCCATGAACATAATTACAGCTGTACTTAAAACAAATTAAATATTCAGTATTAATTGAAACAATTGAATTGAAACAATTTCCCAAGAATAATATAAAATTAGAAAAAAATTCTCTCTCGTAACTAAAATTAGCATATATATTCTAGGCTTTTAAAGTGATAAAGAAAAGGTTGGAGTTGATCTTCAGAATTTCCCCCATTCCATTCGGCTATCACCCTTTCTGTATTTTACCTAGTAAAATGGATTTTGAATATGGGGGTGGGGTGGTAGTGGCTACAGTTAGGTTTTTGAAAACATGGGTACTTCAGCAGAATGGTTGTTACAACGTGGCTAGCCAATCAAAGAACATCTCTTTACCAAAAAGTGAACTGATGAAGATACTTCCTAGATACTATGCCATAGAGAAACTAGGCGTTGTAAGTACAAGTTCTCTCTCATTTTTGTTTGTTAAGCAAAACAATATCACTTACAAGAAACATAAAAAGGAGGTATCAATTTCCCTGCTGATTAGGATAGGGTGCATAAAGAAACAGTTAATGCAACCATGCTTAATAGATAGGAAGGGAAAAAACAAAGCTCAGCAAATATACTGTATTTGGTCAACCCTAAACAGCAATGTGAAGGTCAAGATAAAAAGAATAAGATTATATTGCACCACAGGAAGGAGTCAATATTAATGAAGATAAAGTTCCTTTGGAAAAAGTAATACAGATAGTTCTCGTTTAGTGACCATAACTGGACCGGAAACTTGGTCATTAAGTGAAGTGGTTGTTAACTGAAACAACAACTGTTCTTTCAATCTTACTTCAGCTTTCCTTTGCTTTACAGACCTTCAAAGGTCACAAGTGCAAGGCTTGGTCGTAAACTTTTTGATCACTGTCGTAATAGCAAACAGTCACTAAATGAGGCAGTCACTAAACAAAGATTATACTCAGAACACTTTTTAAGTGTTTGAAAACATTTGGCAATTTCTGAGTCACAGTACCCAATGGGACCAAATGATAGTGTACATATGCTCCAAAACCGCCTGTAGAAATTATGCAGTGCAATGCTAGATACTATTTTCAGACCCTTGCAAGTACATATTTTTCTGACGACAAAGTCCTATAAATATTTGTTTAGATGCAAATTTCACAGTGCTTGAGAGGATTTGTGCCTTTCAGAGGCCTTGACTATTCTTCTTTGCCCTCATGAAGTCCACCATCATTTGGTATAAAATACAACTAACATCTTGAACTGGGTCATATCTGTTAGAGAGATTGGAGATACACAGCATGTTTTATTGAAGGCTGCCATGGGAACTGTAGTTAAACAATAATCGAACAACTCCTTCCAACATCTTATTATAGGCTAATTTTACTATTAGCATATGGTAATATGGTTGACAGTGGAACCAATTATTCAGAGAAGTGCTTCCCTTTTACTAAGGATATTTAGGCAGATACTGTGGATGGCTTAATAGAGATTTCCAAGAGATTCTAAAAGGAAAAAAACATAACCTATACAATGAAATTATCTACAGAAGGACATGGTTAAGTCTCAGTTTACTGGGCTTACTTTATCCCCAATGGTAACTGAATGTTCCCACTTAGGATGGCCCCTGACTTGTTACACTTTTAATCAGATCTTTTAGGACATTTTTACGCTTCTTGTGGTTATTTATCATGCATGGTTGTTTGTAAGTCACAGTGCTTGGGAAACAGACAAAATGAAAGTGGGGATATAGTTAAAAATAATTAATAGGGTAATAATTCTCATAGCAACAATCAGCAAGTTCAAAAATTAATACAGCACATACATTACAGTGCACACTATGCAGAGAAATAAAGGGATTAATTATGGTCAGCGAATACCTAGGCATAAAAGCCTATGAGGTATCTCTCCAATTGTATTGTTATCATTATGGCACTGTTTCCACAACATGCTTAAGCAGGTTAGTATTAACCAGTTAACTTTCTTGACACTGGTTCTAGCAGCACATGATGACATTCCACTCACTTTGTGAACTAACAGTCCCCACCAGCAGGCCTCCCACTCCACCTCCCTTCACAATGCTGTGTGCTGATCATCATCCCTCCCCTCTCCAAACACAGCCCCAGGGACAGAAGGCAAGATTCCCCAGGGAATACAGAAAAACCTCCCACCTTCTTCCATGCTTTTACAACTGGTGTGCTGAGGGTACTAAAATGCGGACACCAACAATAACATGATGTGCATTTGAAACAATTCTATATCTGGTCTTGAAATGGAAAAACATAGCTCTGTATTCTTCAAAACATGTGTGCTACAGTGCTGAATCAAATCATTAAAATTCCAGCTCAAGTACCAGCTGGGGTTTTGGGTTGTTTTTTTTTGCTATCTCTGCAATCACTCATTTGCAAAAGCAGCACATGTATTAATATTTTTACTATACTGAGGGACATGCAAATGTGCATTCTTAATACTTAAGGTTGACACCAAGAACCAATTCCATTCTACTGGTTTTATTCTTACCGGTACTTCTAACACAAATACGTCTATGATGCTACAAAACTGTCTTTGGGACCAGATGTCTAAAGCAGGTAAAACCAGTTCCACTAATCTGGTACTGCTGTTATCAACAAATCATTTAACAGCCATAACATGCTAATTATGTGTTTCAAGAAATGCATTTCCATGCATTCCACAAGGAATTTGACTCTGTGGCCCACTGCATCCTTAGAAGTTTTAGGTTATCACAAATACAGGGGCTGTAACCCCCAAGGTCAACCCAGAGTCATAATTGAGAATGCACATAGGGAACATACGAAAGCAGATATACTACTGAATTTAATAATCCCAGTTTAAGTTTGCCGCTTAAACAAACAAAAATCCTGACATTACTTATGCAACCCACTGAAAAAAAGAAAATCTCTGTGGCTGCTTTATAGTAATCAGTGCTTCAGATGAAAAGGGACCCTGAATGTTTGCATGATTAAACTGGTAATATTTATTCAAGCTGCCAGCCCCCTTCAGCAGGAAAACAATATTCATTTTCTACATTGACTATTAAAATTCAGATAGCATGATTACAAACTGAACATTTCATATCTTTAGGTGACTTGAGGAAGGAGCAAAGGAATGTATCTAGCAGCCTTAGTGGAAGACAAGGCAAAGCACTACATCAAACAGCTTCATCCCAAATTAAAGCATCATTTCTGGTCCAGCTTTCACTACTGCAAAGGCTTCTGTTTCAACACATTGATTCACAATTTCTCTTCATTCAAAGATAACAAAGCTTCACATCTATGGATTCACATTCAGTGTTCCAGTAAGCCTTTCCCAGGACAAAGACATTCTGAAGTTAAGTGTAAGGATCATAATCTTTTGCAATTATTTATCCCGACAAATAGTATCGGGATAAATCTGGATTAAAGACAGGAAACGCATGACTGAGGCGTTCTCCAAACCTGAAAAGGATCTCTTTTTCTGGCTTACAGAATTGATCAGAGTAGAAATATCTCCAGGAGTGGATACAAATGTAATATATAATCCTTTGTCTTTGGTCTCTTTTTTTTCAAATAAGATAGGCTTTATAGCTCCTTCCTAACCCAAAGTACATTAAAATATTTTTAGCCTTTTCTCACCGTAAATGTAATAGCATTTACAATAGGAAAACTGATTTTGATGGAAAAAATATCTTGGGAGAAAGGGCTGGCTAAATCCCTCTTTTTGCCAAGATCTAACTCAGGTGCATGGCTGATTAGGGAATTCTGGGAGTTGAAGTCGACAGGTCTTAAAGTTGACAAGGTTGACACACCCCTGATCTTACTAAACCCTACTCCTACCCCACGATTGGATGCATATTGGATATCATAAAAAGTTATCATGTGCTCAGTCTCCTTTCTCCCAGGAATTGTAAAGACAAAGGAACAGGCATTAATCAAATTCACAATGTCTTTAGAGAAGGTATATCATAACATACAGAGACACAATCTACTGCATGTCATAAATAAATAAATAACACAGTTTAGTTCAGTCTATTAAACACAGTATTTTTAGCAGCCAAAATTAGTGACAGAAATAAGCGACCCTTTGGGGACTGGCTTTCACTTTCATTTTCCACATGCATCATTCTCATCAGCTATCAGAATGACATCTTACAGCTATGAATCATTTTGTCCAATCCAAAGTTAAGGCAAGAAAAACTGCATGTTTCTATTAATTGAGCAATTCATTTTGATCTTCAACAAGGTAGTCATAGGCAAGTGTAAGTAAAAAGCATAGTTATAAAAGAGGAGGGGCTGTTTAGGATTGTAACATATGGGGAAATGAGGAAGGTCTATTTTCCCTAATTTCTCTATTCCAAATCTTGGTGCTGATGTCAGATTTCTTTCAGAGAATAGCAACTACTGGAGGAGGAGATATTTAAAAGACTGCCTGGTGTAGGAAGAAGAGTTAAACCTTGCCCCCAACTATTATTTCTAAGAAGAAAACAAAAGTGTGCATTTGCATTTTAATTTATTTACTTGGCATAAAAAGTCATAAAAAGTCCTCAAAAGATCTCACAAACTGTATTTCTAGTAGGTGGCGTTAAATAACTAGAGGCAATGTTATTCAAATTAATCAAATATAATGATTTAATTGCCCAAGAAAGGATTTCCCTTTTATGATAACAATTATCTTGTGATTATAAACTCCACATCTAGATTTAAATACTATAAATTTTTGTCAATTCTGTATTATTTTCTTCTATTTCTTTCTTTCTTGTATTTCTAATTCTTCTGTAGTATTTCCAAAAAAAGAAAACAGTTCTAGGAAAAGTGTTTTTTCTGCAGTTAGTCAAATAATTTGGATACCTGAATCTAATCCCAAATTTTACCATAAAACTATGACAATGTGAAGTTTCCATGGCTTCCAAGCTGGCTTTGTTGCCTTGCTATACTGTTTAAAGTGTTTTGGTAAACTAGAAAACTGCATTTTTTCACATTATCTGCATATTAAGGATATTGTCTTAATATAGAAGTTGGAATCTTATTAAGCTATAATAAGATGCATCAACAATGATACAAGTAGTTATCTTTGACTTACTTTTAGAACACCAAAGCAGTAAGTACTAACCATTCCTGCCCTGGAATAAGGAGGATATCATATTTTGATAGTGTACCAAATAGGACATGTCAAAAGCTGATAGTCTGTCCCGCTTCCAAAAATATACAAATTGCCTGTTCTGGAGTTAGGATGTATCCATTTCTATATTGTGGGCACAATAAAGCAGCTGAACATTATAGCAGCAAAATCAACAAAGATATTTATGTTTAACTGTTCTGTGAACTATAATGGGGCAAAATACACAACAATGGAGTAACAGTGACATGTTCCAGTTTGATTGTTCCATTTTTGTTGGAAATCCTTATGTGAAATATGCACCACACTCCACTTACCCATCTTTGGCAAGGTGGTACCTAAAGAAATCATTGGCAGCTAACTTGATGGCTTTTTCTGGAGTCACAAGTGTTAGATTCACTGCAGCCCCTGGACAAGAAAAAGAAGAGAAGGCAGAGCTTAGTGATTTAAGGGATTTTAAATCATCTTTGCATGGTGATAATCAATTGTGCTCAAAACAAAAAGTGAATCCTAGGAGTGGCATCTACACACAGGAAAAGGCGTGTTATGATTAGCAGCCAGCAAATAGTGACAATAGTGTTGCCACTTATCTACTTTCTTATATTGTGTCGTAACTGTGCTATATAAAGACAGTTGTACATTTATACACTGGAAGACAGCTAAACTGCAGAAGAATTTTGTTAGCATCTTTTTTTAAAGAGAAAGTACAATTCTTTCCCAACAGCTGGTGATTAATCCGTGGACAAGGTAGGACAGTTGTCCCCAGTGCCATTGCTTCATCTGTAGAAATATAAACTGATATTTGCACTGCATCTAACTGGAACAATCCTCCAATATGGCTGAATGACAACTCACACGTCCCTCCCCACTGGCCCAGCAGATGGAAGCTATATAGCTTCCATCTGCTGGGCCAGTGGGGAGGGACGTGTGAGTATATATATGGAGGGCCTCAGGGTTCATATCCATGAATTAGGACATATTTACAGGTTTGGATTGAACCTGCACACAGTGAAGTCACTGCATTGAAAAATGTATACACCTTTTCAAGACATGTAGTCCAAAGTCAAGCTCTGGAATTTAGAATCCAACTGCTGTTGCAAAATTCACTGGCTAAAGAAACACTGTTCTTCATTAGATAAAGCCAGAAATAGCCAGTGAGCATTCCAGAAACATTTCTCTTGGCCCCATTTGTTTGTTTGAATATACAAAATAGGTCAGCTTTGTCACCACATGTTAAAAGGACCTGTTACTGTATTCCTTTCAAAACATTTTGACTCAGTCCAAAATCCATGCATGTTAATGGTAGATTCCGCCAATCTCCTTAAGAGGGATGAGTACAAACTGGAAAAACTAGTTCAAATCTTATTTATTATGAATTTGCTTGAGTGCCCTAGGCAAGCCACCTCCAACAACTTCAGTCCTCTCTTCCAGATAATGCTTAGGGCCTCCTTTAAAAAGGTGTTTTAGGGAATGCCAAAATCATGTATATTAAGGCTCACATATTTTTATTCCTCAGGAAACTCCACATAAATATTTATATTTATCAGTAACATTTTCCTGTCAATGAGGTCAACTTTCCTTTTGCCCGACACCTGTTTGTTCTGAGTGAAATCTTGTTCAGGGGAAATTCTCTTTGCAAGAAAACAGATCAGAGTGCCACTTTCAGCCAGTTCTGCTCCCTGGCATGTAAACAGCCTTTGACAGGGATATGGGAAAGAGGGATATTATTATATATACAGAGAAAACCTAAGAACAAATCCCAGGGCTACAAAGAAGACCCCCAAGCTGTGCCTGGCTCAGGGAGCACAAAGGAAAAGGGTATTACTAATGCTAGGGTGACCCACTTTACTGAAATCACTCAGGGAAGGGAGTTTAACATCTGCCAAGCCTTCTTTGTCTTTGGAACATTTTAATCTTTCATCTACTCTATCCAACTATTTTACAAAGGGCTATAATAACTAAATGGGAAGCTGGCACTCTGCAAAGCAATTGTTGTCTCTAACGCAATTGTGACTTAGAAAGACACTGCTGCTTCCGTTGACAAATTGGCTATACAACTAAGAACTACATGCATTATTTCACTAGCCCTTCCCCTTCCCCAACAAGCCCATGCTAATGCTTCTAATTAAAATAGATATGATTACATAATCTTTCTTGGCATATACAACAGAACCATGAACCACTGTTTTGTCTCTATTGCTGAGTCAACCCAAAGAAAATTCAACTGGTGGTTAGTACACTTTAATAACGAATTACGAAGAGGTCTGCATAATCTAAAAACCTACATGCTCCTGTAATTAGTGCCATTTGTATGCTGCCCAGTGTCATTTTTTGAAAGATGGGTAGCCATATAGACTTGATAAATAAATAAATAATACCACAAGCTTCTTACTTTATGGAATTTTTGTTCTTTCACCAACATCAGTTTCTACCAAAAATTAAGCCATTAGAATGCAGAAGTGTTTAGTGGGATAAAGACAAAGTACAAGTTGTTACAAAGTACAAGTCTGCCAACAAAAAAAAAGGCTCCAAGATTACCGCAAATGGGGACTGCAGCCAAGAAATTAAAAGACGCTTATTCCTGGGCGGAAAAGCTATGGCAAATCTAGACAGCATACTAAAAAGCAGAGACATCACCCTGCCAACAGAAGTGCGTATAGTCAAGGCTATGGTTTTCCCAGTTGCAATGTATGGCTGTGAAAGCTGGACCATAAGAAAGGCTGAGCGCCAAAGAATTGAGGCCTTTGAACTATGGTGCTGCAGAAGACTCCTGCGAGTCCCTTGGACTGCAAGGCGATCAAACCGGTTAGTCCTAGAGGAAATCAACCCTGACTGCTCTTTAGAAGGCCAGATCCTGAAGATAAAACTCAAATACTTTGGCCACCTAATGAGAAGGAAGGACTCAAGGAAAGATTGAGGGCACAGAGAATGAGGTGGCTGGACGGAGTCACTGATGCAGTAGGTGTGAGCTTAAATGGACTCCAGAGGATGGTAGAGGACAGGAAGGCCTGGAGGAACGTTGTCCATGGGGTCGTGATGGGTCGGACACGACTTTGCAACTAATAACAACACAAGTTGTTAAAAATGTTAAAGATGCCCTGGGGGTTGCCAACTAGTGGCAAATCATTATATTATGATGTCATCTATTCTGATTCTTCTGTTTCCACCATTAAGCTAAGACCACCAAGGGACCCTCAAGAGACCAGACAGATGATTTTAAAATCTTGCCTACAAATTTAGATATTTCAAGGTTTAAGTATGAGTGAGCTCTGCTGTCTCAGCAATAGCAATAGAACTTACACTTACCGTATATACTACTTCACAGTGCTTTTTACAGACCTCTCTAAACGGTTTACAGAGTCAGCTATTGTCCCCCAACAATCTGGGTCCTCATTTTACTGACCTTGGAAGGATAGAAGGCTGAGTTAACTTTGAGCCGGCCAGGATCGAACTGCTGAAAGTCAGCAGAATTAGCCTGCATTACTGCATTCTAACCAGTGGTGAGATTCTGCCAGTTCTAGGCAGTTCACCCGAACCATTTGTTAAATTGCTGGCTCGCCCCACCCCTTGCCCCGCCCCTCTGCACCACTGGGCGAGGGGTGGGAGAGCCAGCAATTTAACAAACGATTCGGTGTTTTTTTATAATTTTATTGGCCTCGCAGCTGCCGCGGGGCTTCAAAGGACCGCCCTACAGCTGATCAGTGTTAAAAGAAAACAAATGAGTAGACCGACGCCTGCAAAAATAAATGGGTAGACCCAATGGTGGGATTCTACTTCGGTAGAACCGATTGTTAAGTAGTTAAGCCAGTGGTTGCCAAAGTTGGTGGTACCGCCCCCTGGGGGGCGGTGGAATGCCTTAGGGGGCGGTAAGAGGCAAGGGGGGTGGCAGAGGGGGCTAAGTGGCAAGGAGGGTGGCCCCCACCCTTTGGCCTGTGCCTCGCAGCACTTACCTCCTTGAAAGCAAACAGCAAGAAAAAACAGCCCCTTCAGCTTCAGCATTGGTTAATTAGCACAAGTTGATTAGATCGGCCTCCTGACTCTCAGCTGATTTGCTCTCAGCTGTTTTGCGCAGGGCTCTGTTGCTATCTGCAAAGAGTGCTGGAGCAGTTTTTTTCCCCTCTAGCTATGCTGAAAAAGCGAAACTGAAAGTAAAGCAGGGTCTTTGCTGCAACTGACAAAACGAGGCAGAGAGAGATTTCTTTTTCTTTTTCCTCACCAAAAAAGGTAGGTGCAAAACTGCAAACAATGGGAAATTTAGGGCAAAAGAGGAGAGTTCAAGATTTTAAAACACAAAAGAAAAAAAGCTCTATTTAACTAGGGAATTGTAATAATTGAGATACTATTAATTGTATATTGTGTTGAAAGCAGAAATGGTTAAGTTGTGGTTTGGAGGAATATATGGGGGAAATTATTTGGTTTATTATTATTGGTAAATATAATTAATTGATTTGTAAAAAATTGGATGGCATGCAAATAATTGGAATATTCATGTTCATATTGATTAATATACAAAAATGATAGTTATATAACTGATTTATATTAAAATGTTGAATTTGTATTAAACAACTGTAATATTACATAATTAACCAATGTGAGGATGGATATAAAAACAGATGGCAATGGGAAGGTGTATAATATAGAATAGAAGGGAAAAATTGAATTTGATTAAGATTAGAGATGAGGATGAAGGGTAATATTGGTTTTTTTAAAAAATAGATGAGGAATAAATATGGCAAAAAGGAAATATAGAAATTGTAAATTTAATTGAAATGACTAAACACTGTTTAAATTTGTGAACTGGCCAAATACTCTGTTCAAAGAAAATACATTGTATGTGTGTTTCTAATTATTGCTATTAGAAAGCAATATTGCTATTCATATTTGTTCTCTTTTATTCTTTAAAATAAAGTATGCAATTTCCTAATTTACATATTTGCAACATCACGGGATGTATGTGTGGGAAGAGAACAAGATTGTGCCAATTTTTGCCTCTATTTGCATTTTTCAAGGTAAAAAAACAAAAACAAAATGAAAATCCTAAGCAAAGCTGGGTCCCCTTTACATCAAAACGGTCTGGCATTGGCTGTTTGGCAAGTCCCTGTATGGCACTTTGAGAGCGCACGAAGTAGATCAATACACGTATACTGAATGGAAGAAAAGTTCACTTTGTTCCCAGTGGCTAGAAATGGTTTGCCCGTTTCACTACAAATCCAGAGATGAGGAGGAAGTTATTCTTAGTAAGACAGCTGCCTGTCTTGCACGGTCTGCTTTGCAGCAGTTCTGTGCTATGGAAACATCTTGGCAAAGGCAGTTTTTTGGCTGGTTCCCAATCCAAAAGGAAAGTGGGAGAAGAAGCTGAGCAAACTGGTGGGAAATTTCATGCAATTATTATTCACAAGATGGTCCGAACGGATGACCTGCCAGTCTCTGAGCTGCTATTCAGAAATAGCATTAGGGTGATGCATAAGAGGCTGCAAAGGAATCCAGCATTTTCTAAAAAGGAAGGAAGTGTTCACTTTTTACTTTTCTGGATTTCCCACACTTACAAGAGAAGGCCCAGTTCAAGCTTTGTTGTTTGTATTCCAGTGAGCTTATAGGCAGTACAGGTAGACCTCAACTTACAATATTTCATTTAGTGACCGTCAACTGGCTCATACTTATGACTGTTGCTGTGTCCCAAGATCATGCTATCACCTTTTGCAATCTTTTGACAAGCGAAATTAATGGGGAAGCCAGATTCACTTAACAACCATGTGACCAACTTATCAACTGCAGCAATTCACTTAATAACTGTGGCAAGAAAGGTTATAAAATGGGGCAAAATTCACTTAACAAATGACTCACTTAACAACAGAAATTTCAGGCTCAATTGTGGTTGTAAATGAAGGCCTATCTGTACTTGATTTGCGACAATTTTGACCAAACCTTCTGTTGCTAGGCAAGGTGGTTGTTAAGTGAGCCATGCATGACTTTATGCATAGTTTATGCATAGACTTTATCCATCGTTGTTAAGTGAATCACTGGAGTTGTTAAGTGATTCACTGGAGTTGTTAAGCAAATCCAGCCTCCCCCATTGACTTTGCTTGTTGGAAGCCAGCTGAGAAGATGACAAATGGTGATCACATAATCCCAAAATGATGAAATTGTCATAAATACATGCCTGTTGCCAAGCACCCAAATGTTGATCACATGACCACGGGGATGCTGTCATGGGTTGTGAATTTGAGGACTGGTTGTAGGTCTCTTTTTTCAGAGCTATTGTAAAGTTCAAATGGCTGCAGAGCAAGTGGCTATAAGTCAAAGACAACCTGTACTTTTTACTTTCTTTTTACTTCTAATGCCACTCCCTGTTTTTCCTTTCTGAGAAGCCACAAAAGAGCTGTTGCAGCATTGTTTCAAAGATCATTAAAACAGGACAGGAATTTATGTAATCAAATCTGAAAAGTAACATTATCTATGCTGTCCAATGCTGCAGAGTAAGCTATGGTACTCTGGTATGCTGCATAACCTCTTCTGAGAAACAGATAAAAATGTTTACTCTTGCAAATCTCTAGTATTATCAACTAAATGAGATTCCAATTGTAGCTACACCCTTCTCATTACAGAATTACTTCAAGGTTTATAGCTGTTTGAACTGAAAATATGGGCCTCTAATCTTAGACTATACCGTTAAATGAAGGTGTGCCAAGATAGACAGAAGGTAAATTAGCTAATGTAATATGGATAATGTGTTTCTTCTGCTCCGTATACTTAAATTTCTTTTTGTCACTACTGCTGCAAAACCTTTCTAGCTTTAACAGATGTATGGTAAGTAGATCGGCAAGCAGAGGGAAGAGAAAATGTTCATTTACCAGTTTTCAGTTTCTCGTGAGGTTGTAAAAAGTCACAAGATTTTATCCAGAAAAAATAGAATAGAATAGAATAGAATTCCTTATTGGCCAAGTGTGATTGGACACACAAGGTATTTGTCTTGGTGCATATGCATATGTACATATGTACATAAAAGAAAAGATACGTTCATCAAGAATCATAAGGTACAACACTTAATGATAGTCATAGGGTACAAATAAGCAATCAAATTATATTTGGAAACAGTCAATATAAATCATAAGGATACCAGCAACAGCAAAAAACAAACAAACCCTCCACCATTTCTAACATCAATAATTAAGTTCAGGAACTTGCTGTTTCTCAATTATTGTCCATACTGACATGTGGGAAACTGGACAAAATTTTAAAAGTCAACATTTTTTTTTAATAAATAATTTTTATAACAACAAATATAGTAGGTATATGAAATGATTTTAGCAAGATATGGTATGTGTATAATATATTCAGGTTAATTTGCTTTCTAAAGTTGTGATTAACATTAATGAAAGTAAATTGAATTAACATTTTCTTTAAAAAATCTGTATTTCCAATTGCCAGCCTGATGCAAGTTATAGAAAGTTTTCTCATACCTGTGTGGCGACAAAAAAAATTGAGTTGTAATTCCTAGAGGAATGCCTGTTGATCTTTATTTCACACTTGAAAAATTAAACTCTTTTTCCTGGCTGCCACCTAGAATCCCTTCTAAATCACCGCATTTCAGTGGTAAGAAACACTAATTGCTATAAAGCAGTTAAATGCACAGCAGCCTTATGCTAAAGCCTAGCAACCTCTAATCTAGATGCAACATTTTCAGTAAGATTTCTTTCTGGAATTAATTATTTGTGACTATGAAATGAAACACTGACCTCTGTACATCCCAAAATATCCTTCAGATCGGATTGTTTTAATAAGGCAGTCAGACCTGTTGAAAAGATGAAACAAAGAGTTATTAGTCATTAAAATACTAAAAAAAAGAGAATAGACTTGGAAGGGACCTTGGAGGTCTTCTAGTGCAACCCCCTGCTCGTGCAGGAAACCCAATACCATTTCAGACAAATGGTTCTCTAATCTCTTCTTAAAAACTTCCAGTGTTGGAGCATTCACAACTTCTGGAGGCAAGTTGTTCCACTTATGAATTGTTCTGTCAGAAAATTTCTCCTTAGTTCTAGGTTGCTTCTCTCCTTGATTAATTTCCATCCATTGCTTCTTCTCCTGCCTTCGGTGCTTTGGAGAATAGCTTGACTCCCTCTTCTTTGTGGCAACCCCTGAGATATTGGAGCACTGCTATCATATTACCCAATGTCCTTCTTTTCATTAAACTAGACATACCCAATTCCAGCAACTGTTCTTTATATGTTTTCGCCTCCAATTCCCTAATCATCTTTGCTGCTGTTCTCTACACTCTTTCTTGAATCTCCACATCTTTTTTACATTGTGGCGACCAAAACTGTTCAGCCTTCTCAAAATCAGGATACTCCTTATGTGGGACAGCAACTGCCATCCACATAACCAGTTGACTGGACTTGCAATACAGCATATATGAGAGCAAACAGATTGGAAAGGTTGTGCCAACAGTTTCAGTATCTAGATGCCAGGCTGTCATGTGCAGGGAAAGGAAAGAAAATAGTGGTACTTATTCAGACTGTAAATTGCATGAAAAGTCATCCTGAGGCATGCTTCAATTTGACAGCATTGCTCAGCTAGTTGGCACCCAATGACAAACTCTTCATTCAACATTACAACACAAACTCCCCCCTTTCCTAATGTATATCTTGACATTGAACACAAGTTTGTAAATTATAGGGTTTGCATTATGATGTCACAGTGAACATTTTGTCACTTGCCATCTCTTGATTCCCCTCAGCACATACCTACATTGGAAAACACTCTAACAACACTATACTGGTGCCAGAATGTTGTTCTTGTTTTCAACCTGTTTAAAAACAGATTCCCTTTGATAAGAGTTACAGCACCCCTTCAAAAAATAAGGTCCAGATATAATGAAGAATAGGAGCATTTCACTCTCAAGAATAATTTTATTTTTATATGAAACATCAATTCCTTTGAGAAACATCTGAAGCCATAAACAAAGTGCTTCCCCAGCCACCTATTTGCTGAAACTTTGGGTCATATAACCTTGATGAATGATTCTTTTCATACCTGAATAGACTTCAAATACGTAGTCTTCAAAAATCCTTTGCATGCTAAGTGTTCTAATTTTAGGTAAATCCTATATATTATAAGCAGGATATTTCTTTCTTTAAAAAATAATTTTACAGGTTGACCATTTCTGTAGTAACGGAATAATTATTTGTGAGAGATTTGAATTCAGCAGGGACTCTTGTTGGAAGACAGGCTCTTGAATATAAGCAGAATGTTGACAATTTTGGAGGGAGGTAGAGAAAAAAGGAAAAAAAACATTAAGTTTCCTTTGTCTCATAAATGCAGAGTTAACTAACAAGAAGCCAGGTGAGAAAGAAAGACAGAGCAGTGTACAAAGATCCTTCTTCTCATCTATCTCTCACCATTTTCCTCAGTGCCAAAAGGCTCATAACTACAAAGAGATGACGATCTCCAAAATCAGTTTTATAATAAAGCCTGAAGACCATTTTTCTCTAGCCTGGAAATACCTGATGTAATAATGTAATTTGTTTAACAGCCTGAAATTTATCTTCCCATCTGTCACCAGAGCATGTGTCAGGGGAACTGTAGTCAACAGATTCAAATAAACAAAGCGCTTTTTAAGGTTCCCATTCCATTGCTTCTCTCATGTTGTGTGTTAACCATCTTCGATTGTCAGTATAGACTGCATTAATCCTTCAATGACCTTGCTGCTTGAAACATGAAAGGGCAATACCCAAGCAATGGAATGATGTTTTTAATGTTTTTATCCTACAATAATCCTGGGAGATAAATCAGGCTGAGGAAATGAGTAGCCCAAAATAAACCCAGTGATCTTATGTTGATGACTAAGTGGGAAATAGAACTTAGATCTTCCAAGGCCAAAGTGGAAATTTTTATCCTTCTATTTTGTCCAGATATAAAAGGATGACTTCAATTGACACATCCAACCAATATCTTTTAGGCATGTTGATTACAGTACTCATCACACGAGCATGTAAAAATTATCATAAAATAGATATTTGGAAAGGCAAGTACAGAATGTAATAAAATGTTTACTGTGTTCAGCTCCTGATGTTTGATTGTGTTATACAATCAGGGGCTACTTTCAAGGCAGATACATCTCTGAATATTTCCCTGAATTTTTAAGAACTTTTCAAGTATATTTGAAGCTCTGCCATTATTGAAAGATTGAGGAATCTGATAAGGAAAAATATCTCTGAAACGTTGACCCAATGGGTCACGGCTATCTAGTATACTAATGCACAGCTGGTTCCAGATTGTACTCAGAGAGAGCTCAACTGTTCTTCAGTAGACTAGAGGTGCTAAAGGTTCAGCCCTGGGCTCCATACTTTTTAATAGTTTTATGGATGACTTGAGGATGACGTGGAGAGAATACTTATTAAATTAAATCTGTAGGTGAAATAAAAGGGGGTGGGGATAAAATAATTAGGTGTAATGATCAGTGCACCAAACTAGAAACCAAGAAATTGTGATTCCAGTCCTGTCTTAGGCACAAAGTGAGTTGAGTGACCTTGGGCCAGTCACATTCTCTCAGCCCTAGAACAAGACATGAACAAGCCACTTCTAAAAATAACCTTGCCAGGAAAACTGCAGGGACTTGTCCAGGCAGTCATGATGAGTCAAAATTGATTTGAAAGCATGAATAAAAAAGTGCCCACAGGACAGAAATAAGATTATCTTAATAGGATTGCAGCCCAAAAAAGCAAATGAAATGTTAGCCTTTATTAACAGAAGTATATTTCCCAAGTCACAAGAAACTAACATTTCATTTCATTGACTGTTGTTGAATTCTGCCTTAGATACTGTGTACAGTTCTGCACACTTAACTGTAAGGAGGATTCAGACAAATTGGTAAGGCTTGAGGATGACAAATTATGTCTGATGAGAGAGACTGAAGGAATTGGGAATGTTTAGTTTTGAGAAGAAAAAAACCAGTGAATAGGATTTGATAGTACTCTTCAAGGATTTGAAAGGATGTCAGACAGAAGACGGTCATTAGCTATTTGTATATGTTGGAATAGACCTAGAAAAAATCCAAGCTCAGTCCACAGTTAGCTATGAAAACTCAGTGGATGACTCTGAGCCAGACCTTTTCTCTCAGCCCAACCTACCTCACAGGATTGTTGCGGGGGCAGAAGGAAGGGACATCCCTATGAAAGCTCCTAGAGAAAAGGGTTAGGGAATAGGGATCTAATCAAATAAATAATTATGCTGAATCATCCTAGAGAGTAGAATATTGATCAATTAAGTTACAGGAAGGGAGATTTTAATTGAATGTGAGGAAAGATTTCCTAGTACAGTTGAATTAATTACTCTGAGAGAGGGTAAGAGAACCAGTTTGGTTTAGTGGTTAAAGGCAACGCCAGAAACCATGAGGCTCTGAGTTCTAATCCAGCCTAAGGCATGAAAGCCAGCAGGATGACTTTAGGCCAGTCACACTCTCTCAGCCCAACCATCTCTCATAGTTGTGAGGAAAACCCATCTCTGTTGTGAGGAAAATACAAGGAGGAAAGAATATTATACATGTTTACTGCCTTCAGTAATTTAATAAAGACAGTATAACAATCTGATAAATAAACAAATTTCTTTGTTTACTTACTACATGTGCATTTACAAGTGTTCCAATAGTGAATGGCAAACAGCAGATTTGCTTATCTATCACTGATGCTTTAATATGGATTCTTGCACAAAGCAGGGTTGGATTCAATGGCTAGAACGATTGCTTCCATGATTATTTTATTTTATTTATTATATATTAAAAATGTATTATAGCTACCCAATGGGTTAAATGGGTTATGTCTATTTTAGCGATAAAGCAGAAATGTCTCTCATAGGCACCCAGCTTTTAAGATTATTATAAATTACTATAATAGCTCTAAAAAAACCCTCAATTAACCAAAACACTGCGATGCAGTGTTGGTAAACTATCTTCAGATTGAGGTTCTACTAAAAATATGCAGCCTGGAGAATCTCAGTAAATAGTTCCACAGGATCTTTGTGCAAATATTACCTAAGCAATTCACGCAAAGGAACAAGTGATTAAAAAATAATAGTGCTTTCTTTTCTCTTTAAATCTGTGAGATACTTACATACTGGTGTACATCCTGTAGCCATTCTGTTGGTTCTGTAAACGTGTTTTTGCCAAGTCAATAGGAAACACACAGGTGACCCCAATGAGCCCAGCTATGCCTCCATTGATCAGCTTGGCAGGTAAACTGTAAGAGAGAGAGCACAGGGGTTCATTCCCAAGAAAATAGCAAACCAGTCACAAAAGGCAAGAGAAATGTAGATAAATGCCAGACTGCAGCATCTTAAAAGATTTTGGTACTTTCACAGCAAGTTTCATAAACTGGAAACCACTGAATCAGGACTATATCTGATAAAGGGGGGAACTTATCACTGAAAACTGACTGTGTTACAAAGGATTTAACTCTTTCAAAACCGATCAAACCCTATCCCTGTTAATTCAAGAACATTTTCTGTTCTCTGTATGTGTAGTTATTTCCTTTAACTTTATTTTTCAGAAATCTTTTTGTAACATTTCTGAAAATCTACCCTCCCATGGTATATAAAACTTGGCTCTCAAATTTATTTCCGCAATGCCACAGAGGTTAAGAATTTAGAAAATGATAGCTTCTCCTACTTTACTATGGTGATGAAATGTTATGGTTTACAACCCACAATAGCTATATGTTAAGTCAAACTCAAGAAATCACACTAAATGTAATGTATAAAACCATATAAAAGATTATAAAACTCTTAAAAGTTTTTCATTTTCAAACGGATAAGAATTTCCTTCAGTCAAGTTTGACTTTCTACTAATGATATGGCTACATCACCAAGATTGTTAGGTGCTTTGAATGATGAGTTTACAGTTAAGACATCTCATTGAATTCAATGAGAGTTAACTCTCAGACAAGCTTGTAACCATCAAATCTACAGGAATCCCATGGTTATCATACTTAATTGAAAAGAAAAAAGGATGTATAGAATCCTTACAAGTTCTCCAACAGTATAAGAACTGTATGGCTATACTTGTTTTAACAGAATTATTGACTTGACTTTCAAATATAATGGCCAAGATTAGAAGGCCAATCTCTAAAAGGGAGAAAGAAAAGATACCAGCCTCAGAAAGTGTAGCATATTCTGCTCTGCCTGTATCAAGAATGTTTACTGGACGGGAGGGAGGGAGACAAGAGAGCAAATACAGGCAGTTGGTTAAAGAACTCTGAGGATTTTCAAAAGACAGACAGTTGGAGGTGTATCATGTGGAGTTGTAAGACAAGACAAAACATGTGGGAGTTCGTAGGTCAAATATGGGCTTTATAAAATATGACCTTTCCTCCAGATCAGCGGTTATACCATCTAAACCACCTTGGGTCACCTTGGAAATTTAGAAGATTAGAAAAACATCTCAAGAATATATATTCTGGCGTGAATCCATTCTGTTGCTCAAATCTTATACAACTGATTAGAAAATATTCCTGCATACAATGTAGAGCTGTTAATCTTTATATGAGCCTAAATTTAAAATGAAAAGAAATAAAATACTGGTTTCATTTTGAACACTTGATGCTTGAATCAAATACAGAAACTGTTTAAGATTTGCTTATGACTAGCATGCAATTTTGTATTTATAGTTCTTTTAAAGAATCTTCATATGCATTTTTCTAAAAATTATCCCAATCAAAAAAGGTACCAGTACAAAGAATTAGTAATTCTCTTACAACTGCACATCTTCTTGTGATCATCTGTACATTTATAAATATGGTGATTTGTGTATGTAAAATCCCATTCAGAACCTTCTAGAGTTCTGGTAGGGACCCATCACCCTACAACTAGTACAACACCTACCAACATCTACAAACAAATTCCTAAGACTAATGCAGTAGATACAAATTTTATAGTTATAAAATTACCATAAAATATGCCGAGTTAGAGGGCAGGTTGTAGAAACTTCTGCCAAGTTTTAAGTTTTAGGGTGGGACATAGGCATATCACTCTTGAATATGATTTTCAGAGACCATGATAAAGAACTCTTCTCTAAAAACATTAGATGGGATGGCACTAATTGAATACTTATAGTCAATTGTAAGAAGACAATTCAGATTCCTGACAAACCTATCCTACTTTTCTTTATGGGGAAAGGAGAAGTATTGGGGAGGCAACAACAAAAGACAAAGAGAGAAAGAGAATGAGTGGCCTCATACACTATTAAATCCCCCACTGCTTGAATCCCACCTACCACTGAATTTTTCTGAAGGGAATTAAAATCCGCTTGTCTATGCTTTAAATCATAATCATAACATCCCTTGATACAAAACTGCATTCACTGTCTGATTAAAAGTTGATCCATAATGCTTGTCTTGGGAGAAAATTAAATGAAATGGAGCCATTCTTGAAAAAGAATGTGATAATTGTGGACCTAAGCAGAATAGAATATTATACTCAGAATGCCTTTTAACAAACGGAAATAAAAAATAAAAGCTAGGTCAAGATTTTGGAAGCTATCAACTGAGTTCCAGGGTTCAGATTAATCTTGTAGTTAATTCAGGGGTTTACTGAAAATTAGATTCCTTAGGGATTCTACAAAGCAGAAAAATAAAATCCATGCCATTGCCTAGACAACTCACCAGAGCATGTTAACATTGTCTGTAATAGCGTACCAAGTATCTGCTTAACAGAACACAAGCAGGAATTCAGTTCTGTTTTAAGAGATGTTTTTAAAACAAACATACCTGAGCATCCTTTATTATTGTGACATCACAAATCAATCCAGTATTTAAGTGGTTGTCACAGTTTAAATCCTATAAAAATCACATTTTATCTATGAATCAACTGCAAACATTTACAATATCAAATATTGTGATTTATTAAAGAAATTGCTATGCCATAAGTAATATTACTATATTGGGGATATAGTTTGATAACCGTATCCCAATATATATACATTCTGACCGTCAGAAAAGATTGACTTACTTTACATGTAATATGCAACAAAGATTTTTTTAAAAAAAAATCTAGAGAAACTGAAGGAATATATTATATAATTTCAAATCTTATTTCAATGACCATTTTATTCCTCTACTGGAAGAAGTATATATACAAGGGCCTGGACTATCAATATTTCTGATACACATATAAACTCCTCTTCATCTTGCCCCTTCTACAGTTTTTCATCGTTTAATCTTTCTATCAATCTTGTCTGTTAGTTACATTATCCTTTGGAGGGCTATGCCTCTTCCCGTTTGTATCCAGTGAACAAATATGCACATTTGCAATGCAAATCATTCTGATATAGATACTGTAATAATCTTCTATTGTATTGCAGCTACAGGCTACAATTTCCTCCTATTTTTATCCTGGAACTATAACATATAAACAAATATACAAGTTGCATTTCACACAAAATTTCAACTTACTACGTATTCAGAAACCCTCCTTTATAACCATACATCTACAGATGTAGAAGATGTAAAACAACAACACACCTCTATAGGATAATCTCTCTAAATTTACCAATTTTGAGAAATTGGCCTGTCTAGATGGCATTTAATACAATGGCCAATGAAAATGAGTATATAGAAGACAGATTAGGGAAAAGAGAAGTAAAGGCAAAAGGAAGATGTATTTTGGAGATAGAGATAAAGAAAATGGACTGTGTGGAAACAACACAAAGGAAAGGAGACAATAGCTAAGAGAGGAACAGAAAAAAGCTCTTACCTAATCTGTTTATCAGCCATTTAATTCAGTTCTGATCTTGTAGAAACAAGATTTAGTCTTCCAAAAGTCTTCTAAACCTTTGGGGTTACAATCACTTAATTCTGCCGTTGGTTTTCTAGAAAAAGATGGAAACAATATTAACATTATTAGCCATGGTTCTAGCCATGGTTATCCTTGTATACAGGTAAAAATGTTTTGATAAAAGTTTCCCACATATTTCCAAGAGAGATCTGATGAACTTTCATGCAAAAATAGCTAAAATGAAGAAAAATGCATCTTATTCCAATTGGTCACAAATGGTAAAAGGAAATGAATGCTCAAACATTATTTTTATACTTCAGGCACATTACTTGTGCTACATCTGACCATTCTTTAATTTTGCAATCCATATGAAAGACACAAGCAAGCCATTTCTTTCTGTACTGCTAACCTTAACTCATGGGAAATATCATTTAGATATTTCCCATGAAATATTTACCAAATGGAGCTATTTCATCCGGAACAGAAATTCCGAAGTACATTCGGTTTTCAATGTATTCCCAGAAAGATCATTTCAAGCTCTTCCTGCTACTTACTGAAGCAAGTCAACAAGCTCAGCTGTAAGAATGACAGCAAAATCCTCTCCACCCACCTCCCATACGGCACTGAGGCATTTGCCAAATGTGCAGGCTCTTTGGAAAGAATCACAAGAGAAGCGAGGCTGCCTGCTGAAAATTGTTGCGAAGGATACAAGGAAAATAAAGAGAGAGAGAAGACAAATGGTTGTTATTTCTGCTTCACACGAATTTCCCATTAAGTAACTATGCAGCAAAAGAATTGGCAACATTCTTATGCAAATCCAGAAAAATAACTTGTATTTAAGACAGAGTTGGTTGGATTTTCAGATCTATTTCACGTAAACACAAGTTCAGCACTTCTCAAAATCCAAACCATGGAGGTAACTTTTTTTTTAAAAAGAGCACTAAAGCTAAAAATGACTATGGTTATAGTTTATTTATATTTAACAACTGGGCTACATTAATAGACTTCCACTAATAAATTATTCATTGCTCAGGGCAAACACCTTAACAATACGTCAAACCATTTTACAGCAATCTCCAAGTTTAGATAGAAGGCAAGAAGTACAACATTCCTACAAGGTGCTAGAAATTCCCCAGGGACTAAGGGTGAGCTATTGGGGAGGGGGGGAGAGAATTTAATTATTCCCTTTAAATATATTGCAATCAGAACAGGAATCCTGGCAATTACATTGCACCAGGAGATTCACACATAAAAAGTGAACAACTATTTTAAATCCAGCACATAGTACATCGCAAGATACCAGAACATCAGAAAATGGGTCAACAGAACAGTTCACCTATTCATCAGAACTATCAAGTGATCTCATCAAGTGATTTATTCATTTACGTAGTGTTTGTTCTGCTTCACTGCAGGGTTTGTTTGTTTGCACTGTGCTTCCCTAGTTCTCACAGCAAACTCATCATTACATGATGCAATGAGGGGTTTGTTCTTCACCAGTTTATTGTACAGTCTTATAGCCTGACATGACTGCCCCAAGATCATCAGCTGGCTTTTGTGGCTAAGGAGAGACTAAAACCTGGGTTCCCTTGTTCCTTGTCCAGCTTTTTAACCACTACACCATGCTTGTATTCCACAAAGTTATTTATATTACACTCACTCTCTCTCTCTCCCTCTCTCTCTCCCTCTCTCTCTCTCTCTCTCTCTCTCTCTCTCTCTCTCTCTCTCACACACACACACACACACACACACACACAAAACACACAGTCCCTAACTTATGACCACTATTGGGATTGGAACATCTGTCACTAAGTGATGCAGGTGTCAACTGAGTCATGTCCAATTTTATTATCTCTTTTGCTGTGGTCATTAAGTGAATCCTATGGTCGTTAAGTGAACCAAGCTCTCCCCATTGACTGCTTGTCAGAAGCCCCTGGGAAAGTCACAAATGGTGATTGTGTGAATCGGGATGTAAATACATGTCAGTTGCCAAGCACCTGAGTTTTGATCATGTGATGACGGGTTACGGCAATGGTTGTAAGTACGAGCTCACTTTTTTCAGTGTCATCAAAATTTCAAATGATTGTTAAATCAATGGTTGTAAGTTGAGGACTACCTGTATATATCCATCCATATCCATTGCAATTTAGCCTTTAACTACAAAATGATAATAGAAGCACAGCATACATACAAAACAGGACAAAACTGAAGAATTCAGCTTCGAACACATTGTACTAGTAGAGCAACAAATGATGATGAAACAAACTACCACCCAGTTTATGTACAACTTATTGTGAAAATCTCTCTTTGACTATTCAACTGTGGCAGCTATGAAGCAACCAGCGATTCATTCTTAAGATAGGTCCTACTAGAGAGAGCTCTATTGCACCTTTACATTCTCATATATAATTGGGCCAGGGATGATTGTTATCTGGAGAATTAGCCAACTATAAAATTAACTCTTTCGGTCCACAGAACAGAAAGGTGAAGTGACATAGCACAACTGTGTTCTTTACCAATAAGGAACAGTGACCTCCATTCCTTTAACAATTGGAAAATCTATGCATGTTTTTAGAATCCATTAGAAGTTACAACTGATATTATAACTGTTTCCATTCATGGGAAGGCAGAGACAAGGAACTAAAATTTCCAAGGCTGTCTCTCAACAATATGCATCATTTTTTAAAATGTATTTTGTTTCTCAGTTCCACAGTCAGAACTGGAGCTCAACCACCAGTTCCCATCTTATGATTCAGATTCTCTCATTTATTCTCAGAAAAATGCACATTCAAAGAGCTGCAAATGCAGAAGGCAACCAGCTGTTTGCTTTGCTACAGCAAGCTGTCCTTTCTCCTTGAGCCTCTTCACAATCGCATCTTTTGGAATGAGTCACACTGTTCCCTTTCAGAGCTGTGAGGAAGTTTGCAGTTAACTGCAATACATCCTAAAAGAGACTGTGGTTGTTGTATATGGTGATGATAAGGGGGCCTTCATAAGTTCTGCAAAAAGTCACAAGGGTTGCAACATTATTGCTATAGAGTTTCTTGTCACAATTTTTGGCCAAGGGCATCCTGTGAAGCTAGACAGCTGCAGCTTGTCCACTGAACTATGGTTAAGATACTTACTGTGATGCATGACATAGGTCAACATCTGCTGTCAGGCTGTCTAGAATCACATCTTAAATTGGGAGATAGTAAGTCACAGCCTTTATCCTCATAAAGTAATGCACAATTATTTTATCTCCCATGTGAAAATAAGCCCGCCTGCCAGCCAACATAGCAATATTAAGTTTGAAGAAAGAGAATAATCTCAACTTGCTTTCTGAAAAATGAGTGTTTTATGAATGGAAGATGTTTTGCAAAGGTATGCATAATATGTTCTCAACATTATAAATTTGCCCTCAAACAGTAGAAAGCCGTAATCTAATAAAGATCTATATGCAAATGTCCAAAATGTTCATCCACAGTGGCAAACTGTTTAGTTAACAATTCTTATATGGCAAATATCTTAGAAAGAAGCCAATCAAAATTGTTCTTTGTAAAGTATCCCGACTCCTATATAGCAATAGTACTTAGATGGTTGCTTGCCTACCATCCTTGAGGACAATCACCTGATTCATAAGCAACCTTTTTTGAATATGTTTCTGAACATCCATCTGAAACTTTTGTCAGTAGTATTATCCTTCCTTACAAGTACCGTGTTTCCCCGAAAATAAGACCCTGTTTTATATTTTTTGAACCCAGAAATAAGCACTTGGCCTTATTTTCGGGGAGGTCTTATTATTCTGGGGCACGTGGAGCAAGACGGGGCTTCTCTTGCCAACTTCCCTGATTTCCAGCTCTGCATTTAAATATTTTTGGGGAGGGCTTATTTTTTGGGGGAGGCTTATTTTAGCGCATGCGCTCAAAAGCCCGATTGGGCTTATTATCAGGTGGTGTCTTATTTTAGGGGAAAAAGGGTATGAACCAAACACAAATAACTACGTTTGCCATACAAACTTTCTTACAAGTTTGAGCCAAACACAAATAACTACATTTGTAATATAACTACCGAACATTAAATTTACTCATATGCATTTTAGTATCTTGCTGACACTAAGATGACTTCAAAATTATTCCATCTTTGATTTTCTTTATTGAAGGTTGGGGAAAGCTTTTTGGGAAAAAAAATATGCTCATTCCCAGAATATGAATAAAATTATTGCTCAAACAACTAATAAAAACAACAATAAAATAAAACATGCATTTGGATTTACTTGTAGTGTGGTTGTATTTTTATTTTATCTTATTTTAAATTGGGTATGTTTGATATTGTATTTTTTTCTCTGTAAACTGCCTAGTCATTTTGATTGTTGCAACAAAGAAATATGTTTAACAAATTAACAAATAAATCTAAATTGTATTCATATACAGTATAAATATTTGAAAGGTAACTTTTTCCAGCATTAAAATGCCAGAATTAGTTAGTTTCCTCTGCTGAACTTCTGCTACCCATGTCCTAAAGAAGAAAAAACTTCTGACAGTAACTTCCCTTGTTTTATACAACTATAAAACTCTTTGTCTTCTAGGAGACACTGGCAATATCCCAGAAGAGATCCATGATGACAGCTAAATTTATCTCAAACTAGTCCATTTACAAGCTTTAATCCAGTGAATTGTCCAATTAAGCTCCTGTGGTATTAACTGTACAGCACATTTTAATTCACAATGGACTAGAGCTATTTTGTGCTCTTTTACAGCATTACAATCAGAGACCAGAACATTCCAAGCTCAATCTGGTTCAGACGAACTTCACTTTTAATCAGTAAACCACCAGGCAAATCCTTTTTCTCTAGTTCATGTTCAGCCTCTTGGCTCCTTTGAGCTAGGATATGTGCCCCAAAGCCTCACTTCAACAGTCCTCTGCAAGAATCACTGCAGACTTTGGCTAAGAGCTCTCTTTCATTACCCATCCTTCTCCTTGGGAAGAGATGATATTGAGGAAAAGAAGAGAAGAAGTAGGTCAAAAGTAGAGTTATCAGAAAAAGAAAAGAGAGGACAGCGAGAAATAGTATCTTGTCCTACTTTCAGCTCCACTCCTATTCCTTGCATTGTTCCT